AGAGATTAGATGGAAAGTCCTTAATTGGCTAACAAAGATAAACACGAGGACCAAATTGTCCAAATTGAAAATACAGGGACTAAATTGACCCTATGACTATAACGCAAGGACCATTTTGACATGTAAACCTATCCAGTATAAATCAACCTTTAAGTGGTCTACGACATGTAATAGGAATGTAATATTGGAGAATAATGTAGATTGTGATTTGAACTCTTAAGGTATCAATCTTATATTAAGTGTCTTATATTGATGGAGTCCTTAATTACTTGTGATTATGATACCTCACTTGGTAGCTAAGAAAGTGGGATTTGGTTCCCTTATGGACGGAAACCCTAGTTCTTAGCTTGAACAAATACTAAGGTCCCTGCAAATCTTAGATACACATAACATAATATTTCTCATAAAGTAGTTGTATCCGGCTAGGTATTTGAAGAAGACCTTGGTTATCACAGCCTCCACCCACTACTACAAAACCATTTATTAGTGTCGCTATGATAACCAACAAGAAACGTGTATTACTATCGGATATTAAGCAAAATCCGACAGAAAATTGATGCAGTGGCGGATATAATAAGCGACAGAATTGTCTGCATCAGAAAATGAATTTTCCGAAGAAAACTCTAAAACCGACAAAAATTGTGTCGGCTATAACCGATAGATAATATATTAATAATGAATAAATAAAAACATTTTGTGTCGGATAAAACCGACAGAAAATATATAAAACTGACAGAATTTGTGTCGGCTATAATCAACATGGAATATATTAATAATAAGTAAAAGTGTTATCTGTTGGATAAAACCGATAGCAAATATATTAATAATAAAAAAATATAAAAAGTTCATCATCTCTTTTATCATTTTTCCGTTCTAATGTTCTGAGCTCTTCCCTTTTATCATTTTTCCGTTCTAATGTTCATTCTCATGCCTATGTGGTTTATCCCTTTCATCCCGGTAATTACCTTTTTCCCGTTCTCTACACCCATTCTCAGGCTTACTTTCATTCCTCTGGCTGCCCCTGTTTCTCTCTATCAACTCCCCTTCTTCATCAGAACTTTCTCTGCCTCTAGGATCCCTCTTAGTGGACTTTTCCCTACATCTTTATGACGCTCATCATGTCGCTTAGTTCTACTTCTACGATGACAATATTCACCTCTCGCATCATCATCACTCGAATCACTGCTATATCTTCAAGCCATTATCTTATACAAATGAAAACTTCAAAAGAGACTAAAAAACCAACAGCTCACCAATTTCCACCACCCGTTACTCAAATCCCTACCATAAATGACATCACACCGTTAGTGATTACGCCTATAGTGGTGCTGAAAGATTCAACACAAGTATAATGCACATAATTCATGAAAACTTTCTCGACTGTGATACTAGAGAGGATGACACGTATATAACCATCCACAATGAGCAAAATTACCATATGTTGTATGCTTGATTTACTTAATTTCGTTGTTCTGTAATCACACATTCGCAATTTTTGGGTGTTTGAATTTCACTAAGACGAATCTAGATTCCAGTGAGATTGAAAAATAACCACTCTTTCACTTTTCCAATTAAGAAAATAGAAAACAGTATACAGCGTTAAAGGATTTAAGCTGCAAATTGAAATATGAGTTTTCAAGAACAACAAGAAATAAATTCCACAACTTTATATATATTTAACGCCTTTTACAGAACAACTAAACCCTAAATCGCTAAATCGCTAAATCATGAAATTATCCAAAAACCCTAAAATCGTACAAAACTGAAAGAAGATAAGGATACATGGGTACGGAGGTGCTTCAATGAAGGAGAAAGAGTGGAAGAGAAAAGCAATGGAGATCCCAAATCACACACAACATTCAAACATCAAACACTTACACAATCAACGGAAACGACCACCATTAATAGAAGAATGAGAAAAGCAATGAAGAAAAAGAGAGGCTCGCTCGTCTTTCTCTTCGGTGCTCTGTAACGGGCTTCGATTGGACTTTGAGGAGCAAAAGAGAGGAGAAAGAACAGATGAAGCAACGGCACAGAGAAACAGAGAAAGCAAAAATCCAAAAACCATGTAACAGGGAAGAAGAAATGTGCGTGTACGATGTTTGTATGCGGTGGGTTGGACGACTCTAGAGTTGTATGCTCAACAAAAAATATAAAAAGGAGAAGGAAATGAGCAGAGGAGAAAAGGGGGAAGGAAGGAAAATTTTCATTACTGTCGATTAAAACCAATAGAAACATTTTTTTTAAAATAAAAACCGACAAAAAAGAAAATGACGGCAAAAATCCCCCAAAAAATTTGTTACGATTTTAAAAAATAAAATAATAATTTTTTGGTTTAATAAATAATTAAATAATATGTATTTAAATAGAATACGTTTTAAAAATTAAATAAATAATTGTTTGGTTTAATAGATAATAAATAATGTAAAATATGCGATAAAGAAACGAAAAAATAATTGTACAATGAAAATGTCATCACACAAACTAAATATTGTCTAATCAATACTTGAGAAACCTAAATAAAAATTTAGCACAAATTACTTTTCCCACTTCAAAATTTAGGCAAATTTAACGAAGATATGCATTCTACGAAACTAGTTTCCATGATCTAACCGCCAAACTTATTTGTAGATAATACAAGATTGCATACATAAAAAATCGCAAAAAAACAAAACATTAAGAGATTAGGTAACGGAAACAAAAGTTTTTTACGGTTACAAACGAAAAATCACAATTTAACGATTATATTAGCTCCGATTTTAATGATTTTTTATAGCTACACTCCTCTACCCTATAAGAATGCAATGAATAAATTTGATCTTCTATTTAAAATATTTACACTAGTGGATACCACAAAATCTTATTTTATACTTAATAGAAGTATAACATTAATTCTTAAGTGTTTAATTAATCTATTGTTTTGACACGATACACATTCTACGAAACTTTTTTCAATGATCTAACCGTCAAACTTGTTTGTACACACTCCGAGATCGCATACATAAAAAATCTCAACAAACAAACATTCAGAGATTAGGTAACAGAACAAAAGTTTTCAACGGTTATAAACGAAAAATCACAATTTAACAGTTATTTTAGCTCTGATTTTGATGATTTTTTTTACAGCTACACTCCTCGACCCTATAAGAATGTATTGAATGAATTTGATCTTCAATTTCAAATATTTACACTAGTGGATACCACAAAATCTTATTTTATACTTGATGGGGAAGTATAACATTAACTCTATGTGTTTGTTTAATCTACCGTTTTGATGTGATACGCATTCTATGAAACGTTTTTCAACGATCCAACCGTTAAACTTGTTTGTACACACTCCGAGATCGCATACGTAAAAAATCGCAAAAAACAAACATTCAGAGATTAGCTAACTGAACAAAAGTTTTCGATGGTTATAAACGAAAAATCATAATTTAACGGTTATTTTAGCTCCGATTTTAATGATTTTTTTTATAGCTACACTCCTCGACCCTATAAGAATGCATTGAGCGAATTCGATTTTCAATTTAAGATATTTACACTAGACACTAGAAGATAACAGTTCATCTATCACGGTGGATGCCCGTGGTAGATTGCAATCCACCACGGAGATTGCGCCCGTTAGGTATCAAGACGTGATGAAAAGTCTTAATTTATACCACGGGCAAAGAGCGTTGTTAATTAGATACTAATCACGGACCAAGCTCGTGGTAACTCAAAATCTAACACCACGCGTTATGGCCATTGTGGTTTACTAATTGACCACGGCGAATGCCTGTTATAAAAAAAAATTCAAAATTAAAAAAATAATAATTTAAATATATAAAAGATCAACAAATTTGCACATTTACTATAATACAATATTTCATGAATAATCATATACTCAAAATGTATTACAAGACGTACAAAGCTAAAACCACCACTGATTTGTACTACAAAATACTACACTACACATGAAGCATCAGATAGGCCACTAATAACAAGAAAATCATCACTTGAAAGACTTCACTTTTTCTTGAACACATCCAAACGAAGTCCTTTGAAGTGAAATACTCTAACCGTGTTTTGTTACCTTATGAACAATTGAAACAAAAAAAAAAAAAGTAAAATTACACAATTGTTGGCATTGAAAATGAGTAAGCACCCACAACAACAAAGAGATTCAAATAGGGCTGGGTTCGGTTTTTTTCGGTTCGATTTTTTCTCAAAACCGAAACCGAACCGAAATTTCGGTTCGGTTCAAATTTTTTTCAGTTTTTTTCGGTTCGGTTTTTTTTTCGGTTCGGTTTTTCTCGGTTCGGTTTCGGTTTTTTCCGGTTTTTTTTTTTTTTTTTTTCTCCCTCCAAAATTATTTAAAAAAAAAATGGAAATATGAAAGTTCACTTCACATTCAAAGCCACTTCTTCAAAGTCATCCACATGAAAACCTGTAAAGAAACCCAATTAGATATAGGAAAGAATGAAGCTCTGAAAATTTGATTACCAAAAAAACCCCAATTAAATATTGAAACCGAGAGTAATCTCACTAACTCTAATTGTAGATAGTAAACTAAAATTATGCAATACAACAAACTGAAGCCAAGCCAAACAAAATTAAAGCACAACCCAAAGGAAACAAAATTAAAGTACATAGAGTGGCAGAGTGCTATGGGAGTAAAGCCAAGGTAGATCGATAGAACACCAAACGAAATAACTACCCCTGAATTTCATGAAGGATTATGCAGAAAAGGCAGGATTATGCAGAAAATGCAGAAAAGGCAAAAATGTTGATGCAGGATTATGCATATAAACATTTGCTATGTCAGTGTGTCTCATGTCAGGGAGTAAAACCAATGTTTATAACCAAAATCACAAATGTCTGAATAATGTTTATAAACCAAAATTAAAACAATGGTTATAGCAATATAGCACCCAATAGAAATGTCTACAGAGTACAGATTATAACCAATGAAATCGAATATTACCAATTCAGAAATCGAATATTACAGTTACTACACAAAATTCACGATCTTCGTGGTAGAACACAATCGAAAAATCGAGATACAAAGCTAAATTTAAGCAATTCTTGGAGAAATTGGCGAACACAGTTCCCTTTCGATTTCCCAACACTGGATTCATCAACTACCAAAAATCTGACAACCAAAATGCATAAAACACTGAAAAAACAGTAATCAAACACGAAAACAACTATTCAAAACATACCCATTTCACCAAAACAAAAAATAAACATACCCATGAAGTTATTTTCGAGGTCACCCAGTTCGACTTTAGATCCATCGATGACGGCTGTCCTTGCTTGCCCTAGATTCTGCAATTTCATATGGGTGTAAACAAACAGAGGATTAGAACTTTAGCGAAAAGGGTTGAATGATTTCTCAGAATCCAAACATATTAATAAATTTCCCATAAATAAAAAAAATAAAAAAACAAATTGGAAAATTGGAGAATCAGACCTCCATCTTCTTCTCACCAAGTAGCCCATAACAAAACCTTTTCCCCTTTGCCCTCTTTCTGCGGCTCTTCTTCTTCTCCTTCTTCTCTTTCTCTCTCTTTGTCTGTATGCAAGCTGTGGGGAAGAAGAAGTAGATGGGAGGGGCGAAGCGGAAGGGACCAAGCGGAAAGAGGCTCAGGGCCTCAGGCTGCGCGAGACTGCGAACGAACTCTGAACTGAAGAAGAAGAACTGAAGGCAGGGAAGGGAGGGAACGAGAGTCTAGAGAGAAGAGGCCAGGCGGAATGAAAAATAAAGGGTTTTGTTAAAAAGATTAAAAAATTAAAAATAATCTCACAAATCCTGGTGGCATGAGGGTTCGAACCCATGCCTCCAGCTTGTAAAGTTTCACTGAAACCAACTTGGCAACAGGTTCTGTTTTGTTATGATTGTATGACTAAACTATTTATAAATATTCAAAAAAATTATATATATATCGGTTCGGTTCGGTTTCCAAACCTCAAAAACCGAAACCGAACCAACCAAATTCGGTTCGGTTCGGTTTTGTAGTTTCGGTTCGGTTTTTTTTTCGGCCTCGGTCCGGTTCGGTTGTCGGTTTTTTTCGGTTTTCGGTTTTTTGAACCCACCCCGAGATTCAAACCTGGGCAGGAGTTATTTATTTTCCTAATCTTTTGGGAAAACTTTTACTACTAATCCCTCTTCTGGAAAGAGAGTTCATGCCTCCGTTACACCCATAATGGAGTACGCCGAAAGAATGTGGATGTCCGGCTTGTATCCCTTTCTCCAGAAAACAAAATTTTGAAATATGAAAAATCCCAATTCGTTCAACCAATGTTCTAGATGTATATTCTAGGAAGAGAGCAACATGCAACCGCAAAGAAAACAAAAACATAAATTGAAGATAGCAACGTGACATAAGGAGGGTATTTAGGATTGAAATCATCACCTTTTCCTCTCTTTTTTCTATTGCAAAAGTGATGAAATCGCTCAATCTTTTGCTCACCTTTACCTGCAGGATTTTAAAAAGTAAGATCTAAAAGAAAAAGAGAGTGTTGAGAGAGTTCTCCGAAACGTGAAGCTCGACCTTGGTTCTTCTTCAAACTAGGAAGGACATGAGGGAGACAACAATCTGGTCGACCTCGATTCTTCTTCAAACTGGAGAGAAGAGTGTTTGATTGATGAGATTAACCGTTTCACTTCCTTTATACTTTGGGAATTGTGCGGTGGTTGTGTGAAAATTTCAATTTTAAAGATGTTCAAAATTTTGGTTTGCCGCCTTCTCTAAATGTTTAATTTCAAGTAAGTATAAATGATTCTCACACATAATGTCCGTGGTAGACGAAAGAAAAGCGTTGTGGATATAAATAATATTGATCACGAGTATTACCTGTGGTAGATGTAAGAAAAATGATGTGGAAATTAACAATATTGATCACGAGTATTGTTCATGGTGACTTGCTATATTTACAACGTGCAGTATTGTCCGTAGTCATTTACTATTATTTTATAGCGGACTAAAATTTGCCTGTGATAAAAAGTCATTATTCATCACATGCTTATTATGCCTGTGGTGAATTTGTACTTTTTATAACGGGCTTACAAAGCCTGTGATAAAATTGTCATGATGAGCTGATATATTGAGTGAAATCTTATTTAATACTTAATGGAAGTATAACGTTAACTCTTAAGTGTTTATTTAATCTACCATTGTGACACAATACACATTATACGAAACTTTTTTCAATGATTTGACCGTTAAACTTGTTTATACACACTACGTGGTATTGTCAACCGATACGAGAGCAAATATTACGTTGAAATTAAGATGTCTACAATCTTTCAATCCCTATCATGTAGACATAACTATTAGAAATTTCAATCCCTATCTTTCAACCTCGAACTATCACAATTGCAATTTAATTTCCAACACCTATCATAGTAAAACAAATTAAAAAACAATAAAAGGTTAACAAAAATATGTTTATCTACACTCTTGATTATTTATTAAATTCAAGTTTTGTATATCCTCATAGCAATTAGAGTGAAATATTTAATTAATTAACATAATATATACCTATATTACTAAATATTACCAATTTATGGTATATTAAATATTGTCAATTTAACATAAATATTTAGAAATAATATTATCGAATTTCTTCATAACAATTTAAGTGAATAAAAATAAACTAATGGAACACAATTATTCCTAATTTATCTTACTAATTAAATTAAAATCTCTAAATAAATAAAGATTGAAGATGAAGAAATCCGAAGAGCAAGAGGAAGAAATCTAAATGAACAACAAATTGAAAAACTTTTGGTGTAAAAATAATAAAATAGTTAATTTCTATCAGTTATAACCGCCAGAAAACTAAAATAATAACCACCAGAAACTAAAATAATAAAATAGTCAATTTTTGTCGGTTATAACCGCCACCATTAACTTCAAAACCATCAGAATCTATTAAAAATATTTATAAAAAAAATTCAAAAATATTGGCAGTTATAATACTTTTATGGCAGTTGTATCCGCCACTAAATATCCGCTAGGAATTTATGTCGAATATAACCGACAGGACTTCATTGTTATCTGACACTAACTGAATAATGTGTCAGATATCTTTTATTCGATATAATGGCTTATTAAACCACCACCATCATCTGACACCTAAAGCTAATATTGTAGTAGTGACCCTCTCTATTTGGTCTTCAATGGCTACCGCTTCATGATCAGGCAAGCCAGCTCTTTCATTTGTGTTTTTTTGTATAACCATATAGTAACAGTTGGTATTAGAGCCATTAATTATATATATGATTAAAACCTATTAGGTTTAACGTTGGATTATATACATGAACTGCATGTTTAATCCAAGTTGTGATTGCATATGCTTGGCAACACCACCATGCTGTTTATATCAGTGTAAATTTTTTATTATGATCAGGTTGTATAATTATTCTGTTTTAAACAAGATTATTTCTTAATGATCTTATGGCACGAATTTGGACATATTAATCAAAAATAGCTATAAATCGTGTATCAATCCTATAATCATATAGGAATTTGGAGAAGCATATATATACATATATGCATATATATGTCTATTGTGCTATTATGTAAGTATTTACTGTATTTTGCAGTGGGATCTAAACATGGAGTTGAAGTACTATAGAATTTATATAATATTTTTCATAGAATTCAAGTATGCAATTTAAATAATGGTGATGATTGCTTCGAATTCCAACAGTTTTCCAAATTCCAAATTATACATAGAGTAAACGGCTGATTTATCTCTTGAACTTTCACTTAATTTTCGATTTTCCTCCTGAACATTTTAGTTGGAAAATTAAGAACTTTACCAATTTCCTCCTACTGTTAGTTTTTCATTCATTCCATCCAAATTTATGTTAAATGGAAGCATGTGCACAACATGTAAGGTAGTCTGGTTGCTTCGTTCTTTAAAATAATTAAAAACCCTAGATTTGTAAAATGTCGACCTATGCAAATATGTATAATTCTATAGTTTTTGTGTCTGAAAATCTAGTGAATTGACGATTTTATTCTCAAATGAAATCACGTAATGTGCACATGATAAGAGTTAATATTAATTTGGATAGCCTTTTTATGCTGGTAGTTTACGCTTATACCTATTATAATTACATAATAATATATGGTTAGGTTGATCGCATTTTTATGCAGGCCTTTTTTATTGCATATAATATGTTTTGGTCGAACCACCAAAGTTTGGAGGTTGCTAGTATTTTGATCAAGCAAGTACATGTAATTTTTCAAAGCCATTTATGTATATAGGTTGTCACTACTATATTTCTTCTCGAAAAAGATTTAAGTCTGAGTCTCATTTAATTTCCAGAGACATCAAACAAGCACAGAACGCGTCGCAACGTTGAAGCTGGCAAAGCTTGATGGCAACGAGTATCCACTTTGATTTGTTGCAGATCTTGACCGTAGATTGTGGCAAATGTGGGACCTCACTTCAAATGCCAGGTCCGAAATCATCAATAATTATAAAGAACGGTTCCAACCAATTATTTCTAAAACATTAAGAGACCTCATCCATTTGTGACTCACAATGTCCGTAGGACTCGATGCACGTTTTAGTGTATTTTGATCGTCCTTGGGTTAGGTTTAAGATTAATTCAAGGTTAGTTAATCAAAATTAATTATACGTATTTATTTTTTTTTATCAAAACAAAGCAATTATAATTGCGGTTATAAACTTAACCAAGGTTGTTAGAGTAGTATGAATTTAGTGTAAACTTCAAAATAAGCTAATCGCGCTCATTTCATTTCCTATTCTACCGCCCAGGTCTATTAGAGTGATACCATGCTCAGGAACCCATTTAAGTGCAAAGTTTTTATTTCAATTTCTGACAATTGAATCTGACCCACAATTCAATTTTTTTTTTTTTTTCCTTTACAATATTCTAAACAATGTATCTTTAACACGGAAAAGTGATATGAACTTGAATGACACCATTCCTTAACCAATTGACGTAATGCATTTGCAACATGTTAATTTTATTAGTTTTAGTTGGCTTAGTAAAGCCACCTATTTCCATGCTTTATTTGTCCAACCAGTCGTGCTAGGCCAGAAGATTTTTCAGAACCACCAAAATAACTCCATCACATGCAGCTTTGATATGCCTTTTAACTAATAATGCCTCCACCTGCTATCCTCTCAACCACCCTATGCAACCCCATATTTAATACCCAAAAAATAAAAAAAAAACCTACGTTTTGTCTTCAAATAGTAAAGCAACACCAAAGGGGTCAGTAATTTATTAAGTTTGGGCATCAGATTGAATAAATCAAACGATATAACGGACATAACTTGTGTGATTCTCATTTCCTAATTTTTAGTGCATGGGTAATTAAATCCATAAAACCAGTTGATCTATCATTCAATGCCTAAACACAGACTCCACCTTCCCTCTGCAAGAGGTAACTTCTAAAGGGCCATTTTCAAAATCACTTTATAAGTTCTATTTACACAACACAAAGCACTTCTGTTTTTCACAACATGGAAAGCCTTTTCTTGAGAGCAGCAGCTTTTGGTTTGGTTTTGGCTTTTTCGTTTGTGATTGGAGGAAATTATGCACAAGAGTCAACCACACTTGTTCCGGCAATCATGACGTTTGGAGACTCTGCAGTTGATGTGGGCAACAATGACTACCTCCCTACCATTTTCAAGGCTAATTACCCTCCTTATGGAAGGGACTTTGTGAGCCATCAGCCTACTGGGAGGTTTTGCAATGGCAAACTGGCAACTGACATCACTGGTAAGTTGAAAATTTAGCTTCCAACAAAAGTTCTTTTGTTATTAACAATATTAAACAGTAATTAATTGCTTCTTAATTAGCATAATGGGCAACTTAATGTTGATCTGCATAAGATTTTTAGTTAACAGAACTGAAAGTTTAAATTGTTAGTGAAATTAATGACTGTTTGATTGCATAGCCAGTTCGACTGTTTTGCTTCTTTTTGTCTTTTGCAGCTCAGAATTTTGAGTGCTTTAGATTAATAATATGGTCACTTTAGCTGCATTTGCGATTAAATTTGTTAGAGGGAGCATGCTAACTGATGATATGATATGGTAGTTGATGTGTTAATTAACAGTTGTCGGTAGTAATTGACACATGATTTGATGTAATAAGTGCGCATCAACTGCCTCGTAAGTCTCTAATGTGGTTAGAGAATATGATTTTTCTTGCATTATTCTTCGTGATCATAAGGAAATTTAACTGACTGGTAAAAATCTAATCTTTGTCTTTATATATGCAGCTGACACTCTGGGGTTCACTACTTATCCGCCGGCGTATCTTAGCCCACAAGCATCAGGGAAAAACCTTCTGATCGGTGCCAACTTCGCTTCAGCTGCATCCGGTTACGATGAAAAGGCAGCAACCTTAAACGTAAAATTCCAATCTTATTTATAACAGTAGTCTATGCTATGAACTTATATATGTATTATGTTTTTATATACAAATGATACCCGGGAGGGCATTTTGAACACAGGATCTCAGGTGCAAGGATAAATGCTGTTATATATATGTTAATGTCGTAACTTTGATACAATTGAACTTGTGTGGAATGCAGCATGCAATCCCATTGTCCCAGCAGCTGCAATATTACAAGGAATACCAGACAAAGCTTGCCAAGGTAGCAGGCAGCAAGAAAGCGGCATCGATCGTCAAGGATGCTCTCTATTTACTGAGTGCAGGAAACAGTGACTTTCTTCAGAATTACTATGTCAACCCTTTTGTTAACAAAGTCTACACTCCTGACCAGTATGGCTCCATCCTTGTTGGTGTCTTCCAAGGCTTCGTTAAGGTGTATATCTTCTCACTGCTCCTCTTAAATAGTTCTAATCGTAATAAAACGATAATTCAGTTATTGCACCCGACTGTTGCCTCATTTAAGTGAATCTCACTAACATTAATACATCACTTGTCACGCGGACTACGTTAATTAAGTAATGGAATTTTGGTTAAATTTCTATTTTAGATTTCTGATTGTGAAACTAATGGCTCGTTTGAGGAGATGGTTTGATTCAAAACTAATTTACCTTGTGATTAAATCCGCGAGTCCTTTTTTTCAAACATGTCGTCCGAATGGATCCTAAGGTTTTGCTACGCTTCCTTGAAAACTAGGATTTGTATCACTTGGGAGCCAGGAAGATCGGTGTGACCTCACTCCCTCCATTGGGTTGCCTTCCGGCTGCAATCACCTTATTTGGAAACCATGAGCAAGGATGCGTCGCTAGAATCAACTCTGATGCCCAAGGGTTTAACAAGAAGATAAACTCCGCAGCAGGAAATCTCCAAAAACAACTTTCCGGTCTTAAAATCGTCATCTTCGACATTTACAAGCCGCTCTATGATGCCATTAAAGCCCCAGCAAATTACGGTACTGAACTACGTCTCAACCTGTAGCCTAACGAAAAAATATATCTACTTGAGAAAAAATATATGCATACGGATAAGAACCTATTATTTTCTCTGGTAATCTTACAGGATTCACCGAAGCGAGGAGAGGTTGCTGTGGAACGGGAATTGTAGAGACAACATCACTGCTGTGCAACCCCAAGTCGATCGGAACTTGTTCTAATGCGACTCAATACGTGTTTTGGGACAGCGTCCATCCGTCTGAAGCCGCTAACCAAGTTCTAGCCGATGCATTGATCCTCCAAGGCATCTCCCTCATTGGATAAGGGGATTATATGGATCTTTCTATATCTCAAAAAATGTTTAAAGACTGCTACTACTTGCTTTTAGATACTGCTAATGTTTGCAAAGATGGCGACTCAAAAGCTTAATAAGTTGTATGCAATTTGTTAAGTTATCAAATGGTTTATAAACTGTCTTGTTTTGTTAATTGAGAGAGAGAGAGAGAGAAACATCATGTTCTAATTGATTACTATTGAAGAGAATTACAGATCCAATTAGTCAGATTTAAGCTAAACGTTTAGCAAATCTTTTGCAGTGATTTGCAAATTTACCAAAAGAGAGCATCAAATGCTTTGATAGGACCTGTAGCAGTAAAAAGCTATATGGCAAAAGGCAAAATGACACCGGCTTTGAGCTCAAGTAGCGGCCACCCTTAGCGAACATGGACGATCTTTGCTGGTCCTGGAACCATTTGCCACCTTCAAAACTTGAGCTGCTGCTTTCTCAGAACTGTTCAACTCCCACAGCATTCCCGATGTTCCTGTTACCTGTGCTGCACGCCCAGGCTGGAGAGAGACACAGCAGATAACAACAATGTTATAGAGTCACTTGTCAATGAAACATAAAAATCCTCTGAATCGAAAAAACATGATTACTCAGAGACCTCAAGGTTCTCAACAAACAAGCCGCGTCGATCCCTTAGAGTTGTCTTCGAGTTGGAGCTACCAGTGATTGATGCTTCTGTGAGAGGAGCTCTGCCTCCTGTAGTTGCTGATCTTGAACTTCCTGCAGCAGCTCCACTCTGTTTGTAAACCTTCTTCCGGTATCCTGTAGCTTCATAACCTCCATGATTCCAAGAGTTGGTATGATCATTTGAGTTAGCATATGTCCTGGACTGTTAAAAACAGGCGAAAGTAACAAAACAATCAGTTCAAGCCACAACAAAAGCCAGCATTATAACTTGAGACACTTTCCTTGTCGTACAAGTAACAAAAACTGAACCTACATTCTTCTGGAAATTCTCATTCCTAGTGCTGCTACCCCACTGTGGTTGTCTGCTTAGAACCTGTGACATCATGAATCAAGTAAGAATAATTAACACTAAATACACACATGCAGAAACACACACAAACGATGAGGCTGATTAGGAAATAAGATGGATTACTTACAAAAGGGTAATGCGCATCAACATTAGTACCAAAACTTTGATGCATGACTGGCGGGCATAGTAGAGGAGCCGTAGGAGGCCTTGGGGAAACGCTGTACTGGACCGGGTGCAGGGCAGGCCAGTTTGGAGATTGCAAAGATCTTTGTCGCAGCTGAAGAGTATAGTAATCTTGCAAAGCCTTGCAGCGATCTTCTTTTCGTTGAGCTACAGACACATAAAGTTTTCTTCCTTCAAACATAGCTCCTGAGAAAAACAAACTCAAATCAGACAGGCATAAACCAAATATAGGCTTAACAGATGCAAAAGCAGGAAAAGACACAACAAGATCTTGTTTACCGTTAAGATTACTGAGAGCTTTTGCAGCTTCTTGAAGAGTTGAGAAGCAAACAAAACCAAAACCTCTGCTCATCCCGTTGCCATCACGCATCACCTTCGCCGATAGAATCTTCCCAAGGGCACTGAAATGTTCTCCTAATTTGCTATCATCAACAGATTCAGCTAGATTCTTAACATAGAGATTCGTAGACTCAAGTTTCTCAATCTGACTGTTCAGCATTTCCTTTTTACATTTTAAAAGCTTTTCCCTCTCAGCTTTCTTTTGAGCCCTTCCTACAAACAAATGTTTTGATCCTGATACACATTTTGAGTTTGTTTATTAGAGAAAGTTGCAGTCACATTTATACTATCAACAAAAAACGCTACAACATGATTAAGTTACAGGTTTACCCAGCAGTGCACCATTCATTCCCTCAACAGCCTTCTTAGCCTCTTCTGGTGACTCAAAGTTAACAAACCCGAAACCTTTTGACTTCCCTTTCTCATCCTTCATGATGACAAGACTATGAACACTTCCATACTGAGAGAACATCTCTCGAAGCAGATCCTCAGTTACATGTTCATCCAGATTTTTCACAAACAGATTCGTAAATTTGGATTCATCCTGGGCTGGTATCCTCTCACTTTTCTTCACAAATTTCGATACATATCTAATGAAAAATGAGGGAACAAAATTATTGACGAACAAATAATAATATCACTAAATGCAGAAACTATAAACAACACATGTAAATGCAGAAACTATAAACAACACATGTAAATGCAGAAACAACAAGAGAGTTCTTTATATCAATTATAATTAACAACAAATGCAAAACTAGTTTATCGATAAACATGTAACCATTAACCAATAATTAACAACAAATGCAAAACTAATTTATCGATAAACATGTAACCATTAACCAATTTATCAATACCATGTATGAAAGGGATCTCAACACATTTGACAAAACCATCTATAAACAATCAAACATCACAAAAGCAAACAAAATGACAGAATAGACAAGACAAAAGGAAACAGAGGGCTTACAACTTCTTCCCCTTAATGATTGTATCATTGAGAGCATTGACAGCAGCCATAGCCGATTCCTCTTTTTCAAACTGGACAAACCCAAAACCCTTGCTCTTCCCATTTATTTCGGCTACCTTGCAAGAGTGTATAGTCCCAAACTCCCCGAACATGTCCTGCAAGTGAGTGCTGGTGATTTCAGGGTCAAGGTTCTTCACAAAGACATTTCCAAGACCAGTTTTCCTTGGAACGGGATCCCTCTGACACCACATTATTCTCATGGTTTTCCCTTTCAGCTCAGTGTGGTTCAGACAAGCCATAGCCTTGGATGCTGACCAAAACAGACCGAAAGCTTGTCAAGAAATCTAACCAAAAAATCATACACGATAACAGAGGAGAAGAAATTAAGGACGCCGAAAACCCATTTCAGAAAAATGGAACAGGAAAATCCCAAAATTAAACCCTAATAAAAAAAATTTGGGAACCCATTTCAAGAAAGACATTCTTTAAGCACAGAACCATTGGAAACCCATTTATGGAAATTGAAATTCGGTTCTCCATTAGCAAGAATTCCCCAAAACCCTAATCAAATAGCTAGATTAACGAACCCTAGGGGCATCAGAACTAGAATAAAACTCCAAGAAAAAAACCTATTAAAAGAAACCCATTTCACAGGTTCATCCATGAACAAGAAAACGAAAACGTAACCAAGATTTAGATATTCACACAAAGAATTTCAGAGAGAGAAACAGAGAGATGTACAGAGAAGCAGAGCCACCATTGTTGAAAGAAAAGATGAGAGAGAGAGGGTGGGGTTTTTGGTTACCGTGAGAGTGTGAGTAGAAGTTGACATAGCCGTAGCGGAGGGACTCGCCGGAGTGAGAGTCACGGCAGACACGGACGGAGGCGATGGGACCGATGAAACGAAAAGTAGCGAGGAGGTCGTCGTCGGTGACGTGTGGGTCCAGGTCGCCAACATACAGCGAGAAATTATTCTCAGGATCGGCCGGCGCCTGCGGTCGCACTGTTACTGTCGGCGGTAGTGGAGGGGCTGGTGGTGGTGGCGGCACTGGGGTTTTGGGGTCTGAGAGCTCTGCCGCCATTTTCCTTGCAGTTCAAGAATTGCAGCTCAGAGAAGAGAGAGAAATTGAGGGAGAGAGAGAGATAGAGATTTGTCTGTTTGTTACAACGGAGAGGGAGGTGTGTGATACTGTACGGGTATAAAAAGCGATTGCGAAGGCGGGAAATTTCTGTACGACGTCGTTTTGATGAGGCGTTTTAAGTTCCTATACGATACAGTTGGCATCCAATCCACAACCGTTGAGAGGTTTGATTTAATCTAATTTGGACGGTTGTGATTGTGCTTGCCCAAGTAGAAAATTAAACCTAACTGAATGGTTACATTTAACCATGTAAGAAAAGAGGAACGCTTAGTGCACTAATTCACTAGTTTCTTTTACCTCACAGATATTATGTACATTTTTTTTTATTTAACGCACATAAATGATCTATATTGTAATAAGAGACATTATTGGAAGAAAAATAAAGCTTATCCAAAATGTGCAAAGTAGGAAATTCTACCGTGTAACTGGTCGTTTATCAACTAGGATGTTCAAGATTTTTCCGCAAAAAGAGATTCGTATTTTTCGCATGTCAACAATCACTGGACAATATAAAAGGTAGATTGCCATATTCAACCCTCATGCGAAGAATAAAAAAAATGAAGGGATTCCATACACAATATTCTGTCACTCGAGTAATCAAGATCATTCACTCATACACAATATTCGATTCATTTCCAAATATAGCAATTTTGAACTTCCGTCAGAATGTCCCTCGTTAATTATCAATTATTCACATTAGATTAAAAAGGTGAACTACTGTAAATTGCATTGGTTGTGGCCACACACATATGGCACAAACGTAAAGTAGCTCCATTATGATCTTGCTACATCAGTACATCTAACAAAAATGACGGAGAAGACTTCCATGGTAAGCGACGCTATTGTGGCGGTCCACCAATGCCATGAAAGCAAATATGTTATTGAAGCTAAATTTGGAATTATAAACTTGATTCGCTTTTTTTTTTTCCTCTGTTATTACACGCGATATTGAGGGAGATGGCAATCGATCGTTTTAATCCACTCTTATTACCGCAAAAAAGGGTAGATAGGGATTATTCGTTCATAAAATGTAAATCAAAAGTACACTCCTCTCACCAATTGAAATTCTTTCCTATTTTTACACAATTAGTTCTTAACTAGCTTCAACTGTAAAAATATGGTAAAAACTGGCTCTTTTGCTATTTTCTTAACTATAAGATTCACATGTATGTGTATGTATATAAACCGGTTGATCAACTACGATGCTGATGCTGATTTTCTGTGTACATTCGGGGTCGCGCCACGAGAGTTTACCAAAGCTTCTGCATACTTCACCAGCTCAGCTTTCTCAGTAGAGTCTGAGCCTTGGTCTGATCGATCTTTGAGTGGGAAATCCGCAGAACCCTCCCTGCTGAAGGTCTTATACCCGGAGGGGGTTCCCACGTCACTATGCCTTTGAGCCCTGCGTACATCCTTGGGATCCTGTTCCTTTGGACTTCTCCATCTGGGAAGGTCTAAAGAAGCTTTCGATGAACTATGAAACGAAGTTGCAAATATGTTACTTTGACCCTCTTGTCCACCATAAGCTGCTAGTGATTTACTTGAACTGAAAAATGGAGATGGAGACTCGTTATCTTCTGCATATCCAGTTTTCTCTGTTGACACAGCCTGGTTGTGGTAAGGAGTGTCTTTTCCCTGTATGAGTCTCCTAAGCTTGCTAAACAATTTGGTTTTACTCGACATGTTGGTTTTTGTAGCAGATGAATTGTCGACAGAAAAGTCATCAAACTCAGGGGAATCTGTGAAAAATGAAGCTTGGGAGGATGACCATTGTTCAGAATCAAAATCAATGCTCTTATCCCCGAATCCTTCAGTGTTTGCATATTCAACTATTAGCTGCTTGGCTTTCTTCTCTGATCTTGGGCTTAATGATTTACTTAAGTCCCTTGCCACTGTTTTACCAGATTGGGGCTTATAATTCCGCAGTTCGTAGCGTAAGCAAGCATTTATCCACCGGAGGTAAACTAATTCTTCAACATCAGAACACCGATCAACATGGAGTTGCTGAATTTCCTTTGTCAAGTCGTCATTTTCTTGTCTTAAACGCTTACTCATTTCCTTCAATGCTTCTGCCTGCAACAAAGTGTAAAACGTAAATTCTAAAGAATAATGATCAAGGGAAGACACGATAACAATTGAAAACTATGATCAGCTAGTTACCTCCGGATCTTCCAAGATAGAATTTGCAAGGATTTGTGTGGACTCTAGGCTCCGTGCCAATTCAGAATTTTCGAGTTGCAATTTCAAATTAGACTTTTTCAACTCTTCAGCTTCATCCTCCAAATCTTTTATCCTTCTCAACTTCAATTGAATATCTGAATTACTATCAGCAGCTTCGCTATCGTGAAACTTCTCTACTCTTTTCTTCAGAGCTAATATCTGTTCTTTGTTCTGTTCAGCTTCAAATCTGAGTTTCTTCTTTAGAATCTTAATTTTTGCCCTAGTAGCCTCAAGCTCAGCCACCACCTTTGCATGATCGGCCACTTGTGACTCCAGTCTTCGGTTATCTGCCTCTAAGGACTGAATCTTGAGAGAGAAAAGCTTAGCCTCCATACCATTTATCTTCAACTGGTTTTGGAGCTCCATAACAGCAGTCTCCTGCTCCTTAAGGCCATAGTACTCGAGCAACTGGACTTCAAGACTCCGCTCCCTCTCTCGAAGCGATCTAACTGTGTTTCTGAGGTGTCTGATTTCTTGCTCATATTCATCCATATCTGATCGATATGCTTTGGGAGTGTCTGCATCTGACCTAGGAGTTTCGACATTCTTCCTTGGAGAAAACCCAGAATTTGCAGCACCAAAGTCAAATTCCTCCACAAGCTCATTGAACACTGGTAAGAGTAACCCATCTTTGCCTCCACCGTGTTTGCTGCATGGAGAAACACTGGACGTGCAATTAACATTACAGACCTTTGGCATGTGCATCTCGTCCTGTTAAAAAAATACAGAAACATGCTTACTTCACTGAAATAAAATTTAACAAGAACAAAGCCACTCGTTGGGTTCGTCTTAATTAACGGGAACCTCATAACCAAATGCCTCTTCCTATATTGGCAACAGATAATTCCTATATTGGCTCGTAACTAATTGTTATCTGGACATAGAAAAGGTGACCAGAATTTAATACAGATATATTCCCCTTCATGGCCGGAAAATGAAAAACACAGAACACAAGCAATCGCTAGACAAGCAGACAGTTGACAAATTAATGCATGATCAAGTTCCGTCCAAGCAGTAAACCTTCTATGTTTAGTTGCCGCACATAAAAAGGGAAAATAAGGGGAAATAATGAACTGAGAAATTCCATAATCCTGTCTTTAGTTTCCGTAATTGGAAAAAGTAATCCTTAATCATTCAAGTGAGAGGATTATATGGATAATCATAAACAAAAATACACAAGTGAGAGGATTATAACTAGGATGAAATGCTACAAACGCGAATAAATCATTCCAAACTGGTTTTTCCTACTTTATTTTTCATAGTGAAACTACGTCGGCATGTAAAATTCATCTGCTCATATAACCAAGACTCTATGATCCAGAAATACCATTATTGTAATTAACTTGCTACAAAGTTTTGAGATCAATCGACAGCACAAGCAGAGATTCCATAGCATATAACTAAGACTTTATGATCCAGCTAAACGTACATATTTTTCCGAATTGCATGAACTGTGTGATTTCCTTGCGGCATTAAGGTCATCCTTCCGCCGAGGCCTCACTGCCAAATCAACTTCACTTTCTTTATCTGCATACATAAAATGATCAAAACAATGACGAAATCAACAATTAAGTACGACAACAACAAAATGAAAAAAAAAATAAAAAACACAAATGAAGGAGATCAATCTAAAGTGAGAAGACGAACCCGAGGAGCACGAAGAGCGTGGTGAAGGCAGGGAGGGCTTCATCTTTCTGGTTTTGAGACGAGAAAAGAGAAATCCAGCAAATGAGAGAGCAAAAGCCACCCCAACTTTCAACAAAAGGGGCTTAATGTCCCTGTTCTTTCCCCCAACCATCATTAAAAAACCCTAATTGCGAATCATTAACCCACATAATTTAGAAACATATTATGGGTCCACTTCTGCTTCATCTTCCATCTACATCACCACCCCATGTCAGATTAATCCACACAGGAGAAATTGGTAATAATTAAAACACCAACTAAACGTTTCCCAAAACAATAAACATGAACTTAGTTATCAAAAAATGAAGGAAAAAAAATGATTTTGATCAAATTTTATGGCCCAGAAAAAGAAATAATCACATAACCCATTACAGATTAAGCCAAAAGGGTCACAAAAAATGAAAAAAATAAGCAAAACCCAGCTAAATCTAAAAGTCTGATTTGATCAAAGTTCATGCCAAAAAACAGAAAGAATCACATGACTACAGAAAAAAGCCACAAATGATAAAAATAAAATAAGATAAGCAAAACCCAGCTCAATTTATAAGTTTATACATAACCCAGAAAGAGAAACTTCCATAAAACCCATGTCAGATTAGCAACAAAAACTCAGATTAGCAAAAACAAGCAAGCACCTTTTGAATTTATGCTGATTAAAAAAATGAAGCGAGAAACTTACTAGTATTTAATGGAGCTTTTTCTTGGAGGCAACGAATCAGCAAGGATCAAGAGGACGGTATAAAAGTTTTGATTTGGTCTTTGATTTATGTTGCAGTTGAGGATTTGTTTGTTTGTGATTGTATCTCTCTCCTCTCTCTCCTGTCTTTCCTGGGATGATGAAACAGTTAGTAATATAAAACAAAATCTTACATGAAATACTTTTTTAATACAAATGTTCCCACTAATGTTTGTCCTATGTCATGTTCGATGTGATGTGCAAGAAAATGGTTAGAGAGGGATAGAGAAGGAGAGGAGAGAGAGAGGGGATTGAGATTCTGGTTCCAGGTGGGCAAACGAAAAGGGAAAGTGAAGAGGTTTGAGCCCTTTGAATGGAAAAGGAGAAGATAATTAGAGGGTTAATCTAATAATTCAGGAAGGTTTTGGACATGGAAAGTGGTGGATGGGCTATATTTAAGCTGCCTCTGTTTTTCTCCTGTTCTTTTTGCAGTTTTTTTCTTTTCCCTCCATTTGCAAACTATATATTGGGTGGGTGAGAAGGTGGGGAAAGTTGGAATTGTATTAATTATGGGGGTTATTTACTTTTAATGGTCAAAGCGAACCCCTTCATTCCGAATAAATCCAATCTTCTTAAGTAGAATTTGAACCTACAACCATTCAGTAACAGATGATTGCTAATTGTTATGTAACATAATTCTTACTTTTATTATTATTACCAAACATGCTTTCAATTCATCAACTAAGTACTTAGGTAGTACTAAATATCAATATATGTGGATGAAATTATTGAAAGTTTACACATAAAGTACTTAATTTGCAGGCATAAAACAGTAGCCAACTAGTCAGTCCATATATCCGAAAAATAAATTATTGAGTTTCAAAAAGCAAACATATTATTTACTTCATAAAATCTCTAGATTTTAATTATTAAGATTTTACTATGAATACTGTTATTAAGATTCATGACTCTCATTTTTTTCTCTTTTTTCTTTTTTTGCCCTCAATATTATTGGTTTCTATTATTAGATTTCTTTTTTATGTTCTGTATTATTTTTTGGAGATAATTGTTATTAACATAAAGTTTCATAAATTCCTTCTCGGTAAAAGATTGAAGGAGAAACTAGGGGCGGTGTGTAAATGGGTTTTTAAAGGGACTAGGATTATCTCCCCTCCTTTTTCCATCTCGTTCCATCCCCTCATCTTATATTCTTCATTTTGTCTTTCTCATTCTATAAAAAATTAATATAAGATGTTGATATTCTCTATTTTGTCTTTCTCTTTCTATAAAAAAAATTAATATAAGATGTTGACGTAGCTTAACTGTGACTGTTCAAATAAAATAAGAAGGAAGGGGAGGGAAAAAAGAGGGAAGAGAATCCTACTACTTTTTTTAAGTACTGATAACAATCAATTTATTAAAAGGATAAGCTCTTGTTACATCTTTCAGTAAACTAAAAGAACCTTCAGTTAAATCATTCATAATTACTGGTCAAGTGTCTCTCAAACAAATGTATGATTTTCCATATAATGTTACAAATATTTCTTGCTATATATTGCTAGATAAAAGGTGATGAATTAGTTTCTTAGTTAACACCTATGATTGTGTTGGAGAGATAATTTAGTGTGACCGGATTATGGGAAAGTACATCATGTGTCACGATATAAATAGTGGGATATGTATATTAAAATATAAATAACTTAAAATATAAAAAATTTCAATATTTATATAAAAACATATAATATACTACCTGTATTGTGATCACAATAAAAAATTTCTCGTTTGTATTGCGTACAGATGGAGGAGAGAGCCAATTGACAAGAGACTCAAGTTTGCAAGTTTGCATTGATTCCTTACCTACTGTAGATTTCAGTTCCCATGTGCCTGGGAATGGAAAATAAATTAATACTTTTATAATGTCAAAAAATTAAATTAATAATTAGTTTGAACAAATTATTGGAAACTTCCAGCGATATATATCTTGCTTTATTGAATAAATTTTAAGAAAAAGTAATGAAAATAACTTGAAAATTTTGAGTTTTAACGATAAAAACAAAATAAAAGTAAAGTAAATAGTATTAAAATTGACTTTTTAATTAAAAATATAATTTTTTTATAAAAATAAATAGTAGTAAAACCTTTCGATAAAGCTCTCTAAATTTTAATATGTGATGTTAATTGGAAGCCTGAAACGCATTCATGCCACCCAACCAAAGTCTAAAGCATCATTGACCCATAAAATAAAGAAAACAAGTCCAAATCATCCATCAATCCAATGGACTAGATATGTGTTTTGAACAATAAACTGACGGATGTGCACTCTTCAACGGTAATTGTGTTAAATGCATATATGCACATAATTAACTATGACCTTCTACTGTAGCCAATTTCGAGAGACGCATACACAACAAGAGCGTCAAAGTAGTTGTATCTCAAACTTAACACGAGTCTTCATATGTTTTGATTTTTCTACGAAACATTTTTTTAAGGCATCATTCACTAAGATCATTAATTTATTGGGCAATTAACATGAACAATCTTTTTTGACATTTGGTATCATTTTTTATTACCGTAGAAGACATAACAATCACATAACACCAAATCATCTCTGCATAATGTCAAAAAGTAATTATTTCTGCTAATTGCTCTAATTTCTTTCTTAAAGATTGATGTTGATGTTACCCCTCCTTAGTTCATTTTCCTCCCGTTGTTGTAACAAGGAAAATCTCTACAACTCAAAATTTTCCTTCTTTAGGTTTCGTGTTTAGGTTTTCGTTAGGCTCATGTGACATCATGTCACAATTTACGATTATCTTTTTAATGCTTTATTAATTATTCTAAGTGTGTCAATTTTTTTGTCGCGATACATTAGTAAGAATCATATATGGAATATGCTTTACAAAATGGAGTGTTGAAGACGTACATGTAATAGACAATTATTAATTCAAACACGCAATTGTTTGAAGTTGGACAATTACCTGGAATGATCACTTTTGAACATTTAGTTACAGAAATGATTAATTTTTAGTAATGATATATTGATCAATGACACAACCATGACATAACGACCACATGCACAACGATAATATAATGATGACATGGTAAAAATTGATTATTTTTTATAACCAAATATCAAAAAGTAATCATTCCAACCAATTGCCTTTTAAAGTTTGAGTCATGAACAATTAATAGGTTAGCCTTTATGTCACATTCACAGCCCCCATTAAATACCGGGCCCAACTCCACCGTAGCACGATATTATCCACTTTGGGCCCCGACCACACCCTTATGGTTTTGTTTCTGGGAACTCAAATAGAACGTCCCAGTGGGTCACCCATCCTGGGATTGCTCTCGCGTAAACTTGCTTAACTTCGGAGTTCCGTTGAACTCCGAAGCCAGTGAGCTCCCAAAAAGTCTCGTGCTAGGTAGAGATGGAAATATACATATAAGGCTTACAGGATCCACTCCCTAGACGATATGGGATGTTACACTTTAGGAGCAATGAAAAGTTACAATATATAAAGAGAGAATGCAAAAAATGGCGAAACATTCATAATTTCAAAATTGCCCTCTCTCATTAAATTTTCAAATAAAATAAGAAAATCACAAACAAAAAAAAAACCCACAAAGTGATTATTAACTAATTTTATTATTTTTTAAAATAAATTATTATTTTGTTTTTCGCTTTTTGTTTCTTCAAATAAAAAACCAAAAGAATCAACGCGTATGAAAAAAGGCTAGTGTGTGTGTGCGCACGCGCACGTGTATATATCACTATATTTTTTTTTTTTAAAGAGATGATAAAATCATTTACACTAATTATCTTAAACTACATAGAGATGAATAGTTTAAATTCGAGACAATAGACCGAAATCCTTGTCCATGAAGATAACCACCACGTATTTCTCTCAAGCGACCTTTCAATACAACAATCTTGCCATGCACTAATGACACTCGTGAGTGTTCAGAATCTTGAACACGATCATCAAATGGTGCATGGCTTGAACTTGAACACGTTGAGTAGCTAATTGCCATCTTTGAATTATGTTCCACCAGTAGACATCGATATAAATTTAGCACTTAATGCAGTCATAACTAATGAGTTCTTAATGATTACAAAAAACGAAAAGACAAAGAATTAGGTGTGGTAGAGTAATCCAAAGTTAAGGAAAATAGTATTATAAAATGTTATGTTAAAAATATAAGGTGACAGAAAATTCATAAAGAATTCTACTTTTAAAATGATTTCCTTAACATTTTTCTAAATATAATCCTTAATGACCCATGTGACTTTTGTAGGTGGATAATTAGATAGAATATGAATAACATAACGAGAAAATATTTGTCAAAATAAAAGTTCAACGTGAGAATTGGCAGTAAATGCAAGTTAAGGAGGAAAATCGGAGATATACTCAAATTCGTTATTTAAAAAAAATGGTGATTCAAGAGAGACAATATTTTGTAAACCACATCTAGATCACCTCTCTAATAGAGGTGAGACTTACTTATATTGTGGACCCTACGTCTATTAAAGAGAGGGTTTAGGTATGGTTTACAAAATGTGATCTCCCAAGCATTTTCAAAAACAATAAAACCAGTATGATTTTGCCTTTTATTTATATAGTGATGCTAGAGATACCACATTTTTAAACGATATTTTATTGACTACATAGTGTGGCGATTGATGATTGATTTCCTTATTTAAATCCTTAAGAAATGAATTCCACTATCAATTACTATATCATGTAATTTACAAAATATGGTCTAAAAAGTATGGTATCTCCAATAGTTAGTAAATTCGCGTATAATATGCATACATACACACATACTTTTAAAAAATACTTTTGTTTTCTGTACTCATCTTAAATTAGCGTACAATATGCTTAGGAAACATGTACATATGTACTTTTTAAAATACTTATGTTTTTCGTACATGTCTTAAATTATCGTATAATATGCACAATAAACACGTATGTACGTACTTTTTAAAATATCTATGTTTTTATACACTTCTTAACGATTCATTAAATTGCACATTTTTTTAAAACTCCAACTTAACTTTAAATGTGAAAATTTTCACGTTTAATACACATTATTCTCACACATTTTTCAATAATACATATAGAATTTACGTTTTTAATATGTATTTTTAACATATTATAGAAGGCCTTCAGTGGTTTAGCTCTATATCGATAAGAACACATGTATTTGTTCAACAATTCTCTTTTACAATGAATGTAATCTTGTATATATTCTTTATAAAGGACCAAAAATACCTTGCTTACATATCATTGGAAAGTGCATTAAGATAAACATGGCGGTAAGAAGAGGCAATACAAAAGTGTGTTAAGAAGAGGTAATACAAAAGTGTGAACTATAGTCAAAGTGGATCGTCCTACACTAGCATTTCCGCAGAATAACTCTCCTGGAGGCAAGCATATTATAAGAATAGCATCTAGTATGTCCTTTACAATATTTACTGCCCGATAATCAATTCAATAGTAGGTCCATTTTTAGCCTCGGTAAAGTCCATCTTCTTGTGATAGGAATGAACAAGAACAAATAAGTTTTAGCTAATATAATAAAGATACCAATTATCGCTCCAAAACTCCACATTTCATTTATTTCAAATAGCTTATAAACATACGTGTCCAGGATAAATATATTCTAACCTCCCAATAACTGTTACAAGTAATGAAGAAACCAATAAATTTAGATAGAAAGCAAACATAAAATAACCCAAATTTTATACCCGAGTATACTAACTCCTCTTCTGCTTCTGGTAAATCAAAAAGTAATATGTCACATCCTGCTAGGGAATAAATGATAAAAATGATAAACCGTATAGGGTTGGTTGTGCCCAAGAAAGGCACTTGTTACAATGAAATCATGGAGATGTTTAACAAAGTCCAAATAAATATCCCATTACTTGATGCTATAAAGCAAATTCCTTAATTCCGATCGTAGAGTTCAAGAAAAAAGCACAGGCAAGTCAACTAGCGAGGAATAAAACTAACAATCAACTTCCCATTTTTGATGTCCCACAATTGCGCTAGGTTAGAAACTAAGGAGAATGACAGGGGTCACTGGGTCATAAAAGCTAAAACTTGGGGCAGAGGAGGCTAGATTAGTCAAAAGACGGTTATCAGTTCAAGGACACAGGGTGCCTCTGATTTTTCAAGGTAAGAAGGGGTAGGGAAAATGGCTCGAGCCAATGTTTGAGTATCAGGCGCCACATCGCTGAAGTAACCCATGCCATGCTCCTAGGAAAAGCTTGAACGACCTTCAACAAAAGGGTACATGTACTCGAAACTGACACAGGTGGTAAGTAGAGATTACCTAGGGGCGTGAGACAACTCTCTCTAAGGAACTTGGCAAAATAGCCCCGTAAGTTCAGGTGAAGGGGTGCCCCCTCACAAAGGGGGTCGCAGTGACCAGGTCCTTGCGACTGTTTACCAAGATCACAATTCTCTACAAAGTCGTAAGAGTTGAATTACTCATGCCTCAGCCTATTAGTGAACTATCTCTCTAAGGATTGTGGAAAAATGTTCACTAGAAATATTCTTGTTATTGCTTCGACTCATATTCCCCAAAAAGTGGAACCTACTCTAATAGCTCGAAATAAATTAATATATTAAGATACGAAGGTTTCTTATTCCACAACAAGGAAAGCACATTTAGCACCACCTTAGGGGATGACATGGCCTTAAATAAAGTTAAAGGTGAGGTTCAAACAGGAAGGCTTACGGTGGATACCTAGGCACCGGAGACGGGAAAAATGTAAGCGACGAAATGTTTCGAGGAGTTGAAAATAAGTGTAGATTTGGAGATTCCTGAATAGGTTAACCTTTCGAACTACTGCTTAATCCATGGACAGACAAGAGACAACTTGGCAAATTGAAACATCTTAGTAGCCAAAGGAAAAGAAAGCAAAGACGATTTCTGTAGTAGCGGCAAGCAAAATGGGTGCAACCTAAACCGTGAAAACGGAATTGTGGGAGAGCAACATATACGTTGTGTTGCTAGGCGAAGCAGTAGAGTGCCGCACCCTAGATAGCGAGAGCCCTGTAGCCAAAAGCATCACTAGCATGCACTCTAAGCTAGCATGCATAGTTTTACTAAGCGATTATTGTAAGTAGTTTCTCCGATTTATGCCCCGAACTTGTGAACAATTTCCATTTCCACCTAACTTTTATTTCATCGAACTACCATCCTGAATTTTTGTAGATGGTCAATTACCTTCCCACCGTCATACTACTCCACAATGCATCCAAAATTTCGTTCATAGTTATCAGGTGGACAGTGCATAAATGAGCCCAATCCTCTAATTATAAATCATTCTGAAAAGAGTAGGGAAAGCTTAGTTGGGAGAAAGAGTGGAGAGGAATCATATCTGCCCACAACTCATAACTTCTCATTTGTTTCATAAGTATACAATGACTCCTTTTAAAGATAACGATACGAAAACACAAAACAGCGACAGATTTAGGGTGCTCTTCTAAAGAATTACATCACACATGAAGACAGATGGAGCGACAATGAATAAGAGCGCCATGAACACAACAATCTTTGATTTCGGAAGCATGCTTCTAGTTGAACCCTTTCCTATTCCTTTGGTATAGACGCTGCAGTTGCTTCAGTATGGTTTTCCCCAACTATCAGTTGGGCTTTTGTTTCCTCTTCCTTTTCCTCTTTCTTAATTGCTTCAACCTTCTTGAGGTCCAAGAAGCTTGGCTGATTGGTTGACGACAGTAACCGTGCCCACATTCTGTCAGTGATCACAACCTTGTTCTGCTTCTCGGTCACCCACTGCGCATGAAAGAACAATCAACTTGAGCATACGACTCAATCACAAGAATGACAATTCATGGCAGTATCCAAAAATGAGAGTGCTCTTGTATCCCAAATAATGTAAAATCGATTTTTTGCCTATGTTCTTGTATCACTTGCTTCGTCATATTGCCTATTAGCTTTTGAAGGGGAATGTAACATGCTAGAGTTTCCCCACTTCTGAATCATATGTGCTTCCCTTCTTTTACTGAGATAGCTAATTAAACCAAGAGTAACTTTCAACTTACACGGAACGGAATGTAAGCGTGCCTCCCGTTAACAGGGCCGACAGTGAAGCCCGTGTATCCAGCCATCGCACCATGAATGGCACTGTGAGCAAGGAGGGTGCAATATACATTATCAGATGCATTGCTTGGAATTGCACGGATCATGTAAGTAGGATCTGCAAGAAATGAATGACAGTTGTTAGGTTATGTAAGTTGTTCCACCAGACTTTACGACAACATCCGTAGAATCAGACAATAAAAGGGTAATACTTCAAAATCCGAAAAGAGGCAATGTTTCAGTGTAACAAACCTATATATTTGAGATTTATAGTGATATTTCTCTGTTTCAAGAAGTGGTCCTACAAGAACATAATCAAAACCAATACAAATGGTAAGAAGTGGCATACCCACGGTTAAGTCACTTAAAAATGTTAGGGATAAACAATAGCATATGATGTCAACGTCATCAAACAAGTAGGCTACACTGCTTGTGGCTACATTGTTTGTTTAAGATTAAAAGCGTTTGGCTGCTTGACAAAGTCTTCTTGAGTTCCCCGCCCCGTTTTCTAATGGGGGGTAATATCAACACTCTTCTAAAAATCCCCGCCTAGTGCCGCCTAGGCCCTGCCAAGGCACTAGGCGGTTGGCCACGGCCCCGATTAATGCCTAGGCGTTTGAAAATTTAGAAATGACGCCTAGACCTGCTGAGGCACCCGCCTAGACCGCCTAGCCTGCCCAGACTCACCTAGACATCCGCCTAGGTTGCAACTCACTTAGACAGAAAATAGATAACTTTCATTTTGCATTATATTTTTTTAATAAATTGTAAGAGACTTGTTGAATACTTAAATGAACACACATTATATGCTTGTGTCCCCATGTTTTCATTATGTTTCAAATTTTCAATGCTTCATAATATATATGTCATTCTATTTTGTAATTTATGATGTAATTATTTATATTTTAAGTATAAATAGACACTTACTTACACAAAATATAACAGATTTACTTAAGTCTGCCTAGGCGCTCCGCCCGCTGCCCGCCGCCCGTCTTTTAGAACATTGAATATCAAAAGGAAAAAAGGCTACTGTGCATCCCTACCCTATTCCAGAATGGACATGCTTACAACAGCTAAAAAGTGTATAAAAGACAAACCACACTGATGAGGCAGGGCTAACAACATTTCTAACATCAGGCATAGAAATAACGCTGGCATCTTACCCTAATATTTTGCGATAACCAGAGACCAACATCTTGGAGAAGCTTATTTCCAGAAGCATCCTGCTGGTTCATGCTTTCAGCAAGAAGTTCTTGTCCTGCACCTTCAGCCATTACTATAACCAGGTGACCATCCTCCTTCAGTCTTCTTTCAATGTATTCATAAAGTCCACCTGGTCCTTCCAGATAAAAAGGCGATTCTGGAATCAGACAACAGTCAACATCTCGGCTAGCAAGAGTAGCATACATTGCTATGAATCCTGCGTGACAAGAGAGTATCAGAATAAGAACTACATAACAGTGACTGTTACCCCACAGTTAGTCTCGTCATGGATGCACATAGTCAACAACCCAATATATACTAAGGGATATCTAGTCAATATGCAGAGGGCACAATTATTACACATGGTCAGGGAGAATCATATCAATTGGAGAAATAAGATAGTATCAAGTGACATAATAACATCACATCAGAAGCCTATTTTCACATTATCTTCCTAAGATTATAGAGGAATGACACTTTACCACTGTAGCGGCCCATTAACTTGACAAAGCCAATACCATTCTCAACGCTTTCTGCTTCAACATGGGCTGCATTAATGGCTCGTTGAGCCTCCTCAACAGCAGTGTCGAAACCAAAAGACCTGTCTATAACCTAAATAAAAGCAATTATGGAACCCAAAATTAAGACTGCTTCCAAGACCAAATGCTAGATTTAGATCAAATACATCAGACAAGTGATGCATGGAATAAGGGAGTACCGGAATGTCATTATCGATGGTTTTGGGAATTCCTGCCACCACTACTTTGAGGCCACGCCTCCTAATTTCCTGCATTGAATAATGGCAGGTAAATAACAAATTATTGGGCTCAACTTACTTATAATTTCATCCCATATTGTTGCCAACACTCTCAAGATTGTTGAATCTTCCAAATTCTTCGTGCCTGGGTAGCAATGGAGATGAATGCTAGTATGGCCACATCAAACGGAATTACCTCAAAAATCACCGAAGCTCCTTTCTGAGTTCCATCTCCTCCAATTACATAAACCTGACGTGCACAAACATAGTTAGTCTATGCACAGAATTTGTTTGAAGAAAGAAAAGGCAGCATAAAATGAAATCTGAAAATCTAGAGTAACATAAGACAAGATCGACCTGATTAATTCCTCTGTCCTGGATGCTGTCCACAATCTTTGAGGTAACATGCCCACCTCGCGAGGTTCCAAGGATGGTGCCACCTCGTTTATGGATGTCATTCACAACCTTCGGTGTTAAGGGGATTGTATTTCTGGCATAAAACCCTCTATATCCACCCTACATGGAGAAAATTACTTCCTTAGTTCATGACATTGTTCAACCGTATGATAAAAGATTATCATTGAATTGAAGGCCAAATTATCCACCAACAGGCCTAAAATTATAGTCTGTTATATTTACCTCATGTAGAATGAGAGCAAGGGAACAAAAAGGTTCGGTTAACTTTTTATTCATGCACATTTGCACAATTTATTCTCCTATTTTGCAATATGAAGATGGAGATTTAAAATGTCTTTGAGTATACGTCAAATATGCCTTACCTCTATTCCAAGAATTCTTTTGACACCATACATGTGGTACAGACCACATACTATTTCCCTAATAACTGTATTCAGTCCTGGACATAGACCACCACATGTCACAATGCACGCATGCACATCATTTGACTCGAAATACACCTGAGAAATATCCAATTGCATGTGATTTGTCTGGAATACATAACACAAGGACGATAAATACAGGGAAAAAATTAGGAATGTAAAACCTTCTGACGTGGTCCAGAGCGTCGAAAGTGTGTCCCCCTTGGACTATCCTTATGAACAACAATCTATACAAAGCAAAACATTATAGAATTAGAGAACCTGAAGTTGTAACATATAGAAATGTTCATATCAGTACGAATTTGAGCAAAAAACAAATGCATTATTAGTAGAGCACCTTTTGAGCAACGGTATCATCTGCATTAACGAAATACTGCCTGGCCAAAGCAAGATCAATTTTGTGAATTATAAGATCACAACAAAATAGTGTTGAACGAAACACAATTGCAGTGAATGTAAAGCAAAGGAGCTGAAAGAGTCAAACTTACTTAACAACCGAATAGGACGGATTGTCTTGTAATGGATTGGGATATGTCTGCGAGATGCCACAAAACATATAAAACTGCGTGTTAGATTTCGTTTCCCCTTGCAGCAAAACAATCCAGTTAGAATTCTCATACAGAGAACTAATTCACCCCTCAAAGCACACTTAGCAAGCACAAATGTTAGAAACACAAAAATTATAGAATTTGTTTTCCGTGGATAATTAACGGCCTGTTTAGGACTCTTCTGCTCCCTTTTACTTGATCTTCTTTTATTAAAAACACGCAGAAATATTCATTTCAGATCCAAGCGCTTCCTCAAATAGCAGTAGGAAGTGCTTGACGAAAAGCCGCTTCTCCAAAAAGCATTTCCACAACCCATAAACGCTTGAAAGTTTTTCTCCATACGTAATCAGAAGCACTTCTGATTGGCAGAAACCGCTTCTAACTCTTCCAGAGGCACTCCAAACAAGCCCTAAATGTCATCACTTTTTTTCATTGAATCAAATCTAAAACAAATAATGTTAGTCATAACAATTTAGCAATATCCACCGGGCACAAAATACCAAAAACAATTAAAAAATTAAAAGAAAAGTCGCCACAATTCTGGTTACTGAAGAAACAACTAAAAGCTCAAGAACCTAATTATATGGAAATCAGATTACTTAACTTAAAACGCAACTTAAACAAGTCCCAGAAACAACAAAAGAACAAATCGAAAGCTTTTTTGTCATGGATCCAGTCATGCCAAAACGCTGCGTTTCACTCACCGCCTAAAAGCAACCGCCACTACAACACCGAACATGCGAAACACCAACCAGAAGAAGATCGCATGTTTTTAGCAGCTACAATTATTAAATTTTTTTTTTTTCGAATTAAAAAAAAAAAAAAGCAATCCAAGTCTGCAAGTAAGTAGCATGTAACACTGATAATCCGATTAACTTTTTTCTGATCAGCCAAACAAAGCCTTAGAAAAGAGAGAAGTAGGGGGAGAGAGAGAGAGAGTTACGGGGAGATCGGGGATGTAATCAACTAAGTGAGGAACATCTTCGAGGACGTAGCCACCGGGGCCCGTGGCGATTTTGGGCTCGGAGTTGTCGGAAATTGCCATGCTGCCACTGGAGGGGCCGTTCACTCGGGGAGTGGAGGGGCTGGAGGTGGGAGGGGAAGCCGAGAAGTAGCGAGGGTGATCGGGAGTCGCAGTGTAAGAGTTAGTAGGGTCGAAGCAGCGGAACCTGGGCCTAGAAATGGAAGCGGTGCTGGCCATATCTCGAGATTCGGGACTAGTACTAAAAAGGCAAGATACTGCACCGCGTATTTATAGCCGTTGATGACGATTAATCGGACAGCTCCCACGTATTGACTTGGAAAATTTACTTTTCTAATTTCATTTTTTATGTGAATTTCTTGGGCGAGAATTTAGAACAGTTTCAAAGATGTTTTGAGAATGTATTGAATTATTTCTACGTACAAGGATGGGTTTGTCAATTCACATCTTTGTGGCGACGGTATTATATTTAAAATTTATGTTATTTTTTTGATACGTCATGGTGGTGTTAAACGCGTTCCACCCAAGTCAGCCACTTTCTTTCTTCGTATCTTTTATTGAAATTATTTATGTACTCGGTTATACTGCGGTTTGTCTTAAAATTGTTTTTATCTGATAATTTCAATAAAATAGTTCTAGAAATTCAATTCATACACAATGAAATTCAAGAACTAATACTAAGAGTCCCATTCTGCTAAACTCTATGATCTAAAAAATTTTCGTCACTCATTGATTGATATTAATCCAACAGTGAAAGGAAAAGTAGAAATTTTCGTCACTCACTGTTGATCTTAATCCAACGATGAAAATAATAATAATAATTGTGACAACCCGTTCCAAATTTTACGTTTTTATTTTATTTAAAAAGCGTGAATTTACGAAATTGCCCTAGAGGCAAGGACTTTGACTTCTGTTAACCATCGTCTAGAGAGACGTATGACTTATTCTTTTAACATATTCTCGTAATACTCGTGGATGTGAACGCATAGGCGAAAGCCGTTTGCGAGTCCGGATTATAACGGTATAGTTACGGCTGTTCGAAATTGGTTATTCAAGGTTTAGTGTTGATTAAATTAAATCCTCAATCAGAAATTGGTTATTTAAGGTGAAGCCCAATCAGAAGAAAAAAAAAAAAAAAAATCCCAGCTTTCTCGTGGGTTTTTCCCACTCGCGACCACCCACTTTCCAAGGCCGATTCCAGCCAACTCCGGTGGAGTTTTTCGATGCCGCCACCACCATCTTGAAGCTCTCATTCCCCTCTACAAAACTCACCCAAGAACCACCTTGATTAACCATGGTATGAGGCGGTTTGAGACCACGAAAGTTGACGAAAATCAATGGTGCTCCAGCCACCCTTCTCGATTTTCCGGCAAATCGGCAAAGCAATGGCCGATGCCACTACTTGGGCTTTGTAGCCCATCATCCCAGGAGCAAAACCCAACCAACCTTGACCCCGTTGGACCACCGTAGACGACGAATCGATGTCGGGAAGTTTTAGGCACCCGCCGGCTTCGTGGGCAAAATTGACCATCTTCCGTCCACTTTTGGACTTCGTGGCAGATATGAAAGTTGCTCCACTCACTGAGATCTTCATTTCTGTGAAGTTTGAGAATTTTTGGAAATAGTTTAATTTTCCGGCGAGTCGGGGTGGCCGACCGCCACCCGCGGCGGCGCGTGGCCAGTGGGCCGCCAATGCTATTTTTAGGCTATGTCAAATGTCTTGAATTCAGTTTTGTCATTTGAATGACGTAGGTTGATAGTTGGAACCTAAATTCGTTACGATACGTTACTTGATAAAATGTGAATTGATGATCCGACCGTTGGATCGTCACCAAAATTGGATACATTATAATACGTAATATTTAAAGATTATAGGAATTTACGGATTGGGAATCCGACTTACGGATCTTCCTGAATTGGATTTGTAAGTTAGTAAAATAAATGTTCATGGCCACTTGTTTTAGGCAATTGGCGGAGATCTAACCGTTGGATCGTAATGAAATTTTAATATGTTATTCTAGAAACATATTGTGGATCTTTGGAAGTTGCGGATTGGAAATCTGATATGCGGATCTTCCGGGTCAAGTTATACAGGGTTGTAAACCCTACCGTCGATCTTTGATCGACGGTTGACTTGTGGTCAATGGGTATCAAACTATTTTAGAATGTCGTTGAGGTTGTGTTTTATGTGAATTACATATTCTACGGATAAGAGTTTTGAGATGTGATTTGATAATTGGTCACAGGGACCAATCATTCAGGACGCCTCGATGCGTGCGCTAGAGAATCATAGCCTGGACTCCAGGTGAGTGCATCTTTTCCTTTTTATCGTACATATTATTGAGAGTTCTATCGACACTTTTAAATTGATTAGGCATATTACTTTCATACATATTTATTATGAATGCTTGAAGTACTATATGAACTACGAATGGTTTGATCCCTGTCTAGGGTACGTAGGCAGTCTAACGAGACGTTAGATGCAGCCATAAAATATTTGAGACAAAAGCTTTGCTTGGGAAATTGAGTAACGCGAAGGAAATTTGTAAAGGCAAGTTTTAGTTTTGTGAATTAGTTAGTTAAATTAGAGTTAATTGGGTTGTCATGGATAATTATCCCTGAAAATAAGTAATTTGGGAGTAGGGCGTTACTGATTGTACACTTCACACCATATTGTTTATAATTGAAAATGCTACGACATGGTTAAGTAGTAGATTGCATCATGATATATCCATATGTATATTACTTGCATATAATTATTGGGAATGCTTTCAAGTGCAAAGGTGAACTCAGGACACCCAGGTAAGTTCAGGTGAGTTTATGGTAATAGTTGAATCGATTGCGTTATAGCATGACTACAGTTATGAGTTAGGCAACTTTGATACTGTCGTACTAGTTGCCATGAGTTGCACATGTTATATTGAGATGCATTGAGAGCTCATAAACCTGCACCCCGGTGTTAGTGCTCCCGCATGTGGCCAGGGCACAGTTCTTCACGTGATGTTCACCTCCCGCACCTTACGCTCACCTTGGATTCAAGGAAGGTGCACAGTCCTGTCGTATAGACCACTTTAGGTGGTTCTGACTCGTAGGTGACCCGCGATTATTCGCCCAGTCTTCACGCGATCGTAGCACTTGAGCGTATTTATTTACACCCAGTCCTGTCGTACAGACCACTTTAGGTGGTTCCGACTCGTGTGCAGGTATACTTATTGAGCTATTGGCTAGCCAGGATTGATGAGATATGGATAAGTCGTACAGGTCACTATAGGTGACTCCGACTTATATGCTAGCCATGATTGATGAGATATGGATAAGTCGTACAGGTCACTATAGGTGACTTCGACTTATATGCTAGCCAGGATTGATGAGATATGGATAAGTCGTACAGGTCACTATAGGTGACTCCGACTTATATGCTAGCCATGATTGATGAGATATGGATAAGATGTACAAGTCATTTTAGATGACTCTGACTGATATATCACTTTGTATTGATGTAGTTCATTTGGCCTACTTATTAATGTATGGTGGAGTTTATGGCAAACCGTGGTTTTGATCATTTCTGAGTATGGTTTGGATATATGTATATATGTTGTACTGTCTTATGGAAAACGATACGGGTTTTACATTTAGGGGCATTACTTTTTGAGAGGTAGTAACTTTGGGAAGCTTGGTTTTATTGCTTACTCACACCTTCTGTTTGGTGCCCTCCAAGTTTTAACTGCTGAGTTTGTATCGACAAGAATCTGTGGCGAATCTTAGTATTGATGGATATTTTTGAGAGTATGATTCTTACCCACACTACTGTACCTTACTTATGCTCTGACATCGTGTGTGAAATGGGTTCGCTCCCACTCGTAGCGCACTCTGGTATTTAGACACTTTTAGATTTAAATTCATTCACTTTTTATACACTATCATATTTTATGGTTTCGTCACCTTCCAGGTGTCGACTAGCACAGCTCGATTCAGGGTCCAAGTGGACTTTCTGAGTCGGGGTGTGTCAATAATAATAATAATCTCATCGTTAAATTAAAATCGAATGATGATTGACTCTTATTTTTTAAAACTATTAAGTTTGAAAGAATAAGATTGCCAATTATGTCAGAAAAATAAAATAAGGTGGTGAAGTTAACACAACACTTGGCCAATGTATAACTCACGTTTGAATAATAAATTAATTTTCTGGATTATGAGGTTACGAAATTACATGCATGTGGTTGCAGCTCATCTGCCTAATTATCATTTTTGGCATGTAATAAACCGTGGGAATTTTGGCTCTTCAGATTGAAATATTTATAGGCTATTTAATAACTATTTTTTTTTTTAGAAGAATAACTTTTTTTTTTTTTAGTATTCATATTTTTTTTTTATAAACGACATCATTATTGGGTTAAATTGTCAAATGTAAGGAGGAAGCAAGATCAATGGAATCAATTTGACATTAGAGTGCATAGGCATTTTTTTTTTTTGACACTGTGGTAAAACGTAATATGCTTGAAAATTTGTTTGATACTTACTTTTAGTTTTCAATTTTAACTGAAAACAAAAAACTGAACACCAAATGTCACATCCCGGCCCGCTCCACTACCGTAGCACGATATTATCCGCTTTAAGCTTACCATTCCCTCACGGTTTTGTTTTTGGGAATTCACGAGCAACTTCCCAGTAGGTCACCCATCATGAGATTGCTCTAGCCCCCTTCCCGCTTAACTTCGGAGTTCCAACGGAACTCGAAGCCAGTGAGTTCCCAAAAGGCCTCATGTTAGGTAGAGATGGGAATATATATTTAAGGATCACTCCCCTGGACGATGTGGGATGTCACACCAAATTTATAAAAAAAAAAAAAAAAAAAAAAAAACCTTTTAGTTTTAAAAAAATAAATTAATATCTCATTTGGAGATGTTTTAAACACGTCATGTTTAATTATGATATATTTATATAAAGAAAGTGTATAAAAATAAAGGAATTTTAATGAAAAAATCCCGGTACTGTTTACTTTAACAAAAAACTACATTTTTACATTAAAAAGTCAATCATAATACTATTCACTTTACCCTTCATTTTGTCCTTATAGTTAAAACTCAAAATTTTCAAACCATTTTCATTAGTTTTCCTTAAAAATAATTTATCTTTTTTTAAATCCCTCCTTCCTTCGTATCTTTATGTAAGTAAACATGGCCTTAGTGCATTTTATCCATTGTTTATCAAAATCAATAATGTCAATTTCTAAACAGTTTTGATGCCTTCATTCATTATTCACGCTGATATAGTGCGCTAACTGGTGACGTCGAGATGCATGCCTGATGGCTGTGGGTTTGTCCGCTTCATGAGTCACGCCTTTTGATTTGGGATTTTTTTTTTTTTTTTTAAAGAACAAAGGATATCATGTATATTAAGAGTGTAAAAGTGAGTTTATGTCTGAAAATTGATGAGTAATAATGTGGTTCAAATTCATATTTTACAATAATTAAATTTAAGACCTCTCATGTAACATCCCACATCGCCCAGGGGAGTGATCCTTAAATGTATATTCACATCTCTACCTAGCACGAGGCCTTTTGGGAGCGGCTTCGGGTTCCGTAGGAACTCCGAAGTTAAGCGAGAAGGGGGTTAGAGCAATCCCATGATGGGTGACCCACTGAGAAGTTGCTCGTGAGTTCCCAAAAACAAAACCGTGAGGGAATGGTAAGCCCAAAGCGGACAATATCGTGCTACGGTGGTGGAGCGGGCCCATGAAGTGATCCGTCCTGGGCCGGGATGTGACATCTCATTTAAAAATGACGAAAATTACCACTAAATTATAATATTAAATGACTTTTCAATTTTGATTTTTTATATCAAATAAACAAACTAGTGAAGGTCACTAAAGAAGTCGGGGAGGCAAATTATTGATGCATGACGTTGTTGGAGCGAGCATGGGTTTAAGTTGCTTTAGATGTCACCATTTTTATATATAAAACCAACAACTCTTTTTGAAGTCACAAACTTGATTAAAATTTTTTTAACAAAAATGCTTCCAAAACAAAAAAAAATTCAAAAGCAACCCAAAATAATGCATCCAATAATGCAGGGGTATTTTTGTTATTTTAATAGTGTTTTTTAATAATTAATTCTTTTTGTACAGTTTTTTTAATTCGCACCTCACAATAGGCTAGTAATAATGTGATTCAATTCGTTGTTCATTAAATATTATTTTCTCTATTTTTAATCACGTTCAAAACATCTTAAGAGACTGTAATGCCAGTTATAAAAAAAGTCTTTCGCACGCTCATAATAATGCGATTAAATTAGTTATCAAATGATTTTTTTTTTTAACAAATGATATTATCTACACTAAGGAGGAGGGGGTGGGCTTAGCCTCACAATGGGTTAGAAATAATATGATTCAATCAGTTGTTTATTAAATATTATTTTCTCTATTCAATGTAAATTTAATGTAGATGGAAATTGAAAGACTGATTTTTATTATGTGAATTCATCTACTTTGATTGGTTTGTGAGAGGTTTTTTTTAGCATGATCTAATATTATTCATTTACTTTAAATATCTGACTTTCCTTTTGTCAATTCACGCATATAAATACATTTAAAATATGTAAGTCACGCTTAGAATGCAGTGATTAAAAAAATATCTTTTTCACGTGGGTGAGTACGTGCACGAAGGCTATTAGAAGAACAAGCAAGGGAAAAAGAAATATTTATATTCCAATCCAATCAACCATGCAAAGTTAAGTATTGTCTTATTTTTTCAGTCTCCTAATATTTTTAATATTTGAATGTTCGAACCAATTACTACTGTTCGAAAACAAATATTTGCAGTTATATTTTGGGTAGTGATTTTGGTTCTCTTGTTTTAACCATTTGCACTTTAGTTCGGAACTTGGGATGATATTGTATCGACTTGGTCAATTGCTTATGTGTGACAATGTTCTCATTTTTGCATGACCACTCGTTTCCTTGCCTTTTGACTTGTTTCTACGATAGTGGTTTTTTTGCAGCAACGATAACGGTTGTTTAGCTGTAAGGTTTGATGTTTGGGTTTTATGTATTTTGAGCTTCAACTTAGGTTTTGGTCCCATGTTCTATCTTTTTGCTATTTGTATTTGGGCCCGTTGAGTTAATGAAATGCATTCTCCTTGCCCAAAAAAAAAAAAAAAAAAAAAAAACCTTGTTTGTGAACACTTGTGTATAATGCACTTTTCCACTCGTAAAAGCACTTATTTTGGTAAAATTAGCTCATTATAAACATGTATAATTTTTTTTACTAAACGTTCCAGTGCTTCTCTAAGATCATTTTCACCCCTCATGGAAATTGGACAATAGGCAATTATTGCGTTAGTAAATAGTAACTGCTCCAGTACACCTTCATCTCGTAAAATAAGTTGCCAGACAATTACTATTAAAAAATTGATTAAAAAAAAATTATTATTTCTCTCTCCTCCTCCCTCCCTTTCTTTTTCTCCTTCTCCTTTCTCTGTTGCTTCCCGTCTTCTCCCACCCTCACCGATGAAATCTAACGATTCAAACCCCCCAAACTTTCTCTCTGCACCCCAAACCCCCCACCCCCCCCCCCCCACACTCACACGCACACCCCAAAATTACCAACTGTCCATCACTAGACTCCCCGCACAGTCAGTAATCCTAAGGTCAGACAAGTCAAGTTCTTCACTTCACCCAAGCTCATCGCCTCATTCTCTCCTCCTGTCATCGACATCTCCCCTTCTGATTGCTTCATCTTTCCGATAATGATCCCCTTGCAAAAAAAAAAAAATTTAACATTGTTGACGTTATACCACACTCGGGCGTAGGGTCACGCAAAGATTGCCCGGTTGAGTCGTTCGATAACTATAGGCCCATCAATTGCTCAAATTTTTGTTATGAGCTAGAGTAAGATTTTCCCTTTTTTGGCAATAATTGCCCAATTGCCTTGGTAGTTTCATGTCGGTTGGCAATGCTTTAAAAAGCACTTCTACAACTCATAAACTTTTTTATGTTTTTCTATCAAACGGCAAAATTAGGGTAAATCTCAGTTTATTACCCTTAAGTTTCGTGGTTTTCAACATTTGGTACATGAAATTTTTTTCATTACAGAGTGTGACATCCCACATCGCCCAGGGTAGTGGATCATGTAAGCCTTATATGTATATTCCCATCTTTACCTAGCACGAAGCCTTTTGGAAGCTCACTGGCTTTGGGTTTTGTAGGAACTCTGAAGTTAAACGAGTTCGCGCGAGAGCAATCCCAGGATGGGTGACCCACTACGAAGTTCTGGTGTGAGTACCCAGAAACAAAACCATGAGGGTGTGGTCAGGGCCCAAAGTAGACAATATCATGCTATGGTGGAGTCGGGCCGGGGATGTGATGGGGGCCTGGACGGGGATGTGACAATTTGGTATCAGAGCCAATCCCTGGCGGATGTGTGCTGATGAGGACATTGGGCCCCTAAAGGGGGTACATTGTGACATCCCACATCACCTAGGGGAGTGGATCCTGTAAGCCTTATATGTATATTCCCATCTCTACCTAGCACAAGGCCTTTTGGGAGCTCACTGGCTTTGGATTCCGTAGGAACTTCGGAGTTAAGCGAGTTTGCGAGAGAGCAATCCTAGGATGGGCCACCCACTAGGAAGTTCTCATGTGAGTTCCCATAAACAAAACCGTGAGGGCGTGGTTGGGGCCCAAAGTGAACAATATCGTGATACGGTAGAGTCAGGCCATGCCCGCCGGGTGTAGTTCTGTGAATTTCGGAGAGTGTAAGCCATTGATTTCTGGTGGCCCTGTCTTGTCATGTGCTTCCCGTTTTCCGATTAAGGCGACTGTGTTTCCATGCGTCAGGTCATGGAGAGCTCGCCAAGAAGGTAAGTCTCTCGGTCGTATATTTCATTGTGAATGTCCTGGTTGTTTAATTTCGGTATGAAAAGTACATCAGTGTGTAGCTCTCAATCCTATCTCTGTTAATGTGCTTGACACACACTTCACCGGCTATCATTTACTGACACAAAAATACGTATGTGCTCAAATAGAATTTCACGTATCATTTGCCAAACCAATGTTGAGTTGAGTGCGGGTTTTGATTCGACATCTATTTTGTCCTAGTTATGCCACTTTTGAACCCCTGTGCTGCATCGAGCCCATTTTTCAGCAGAGGCATGGTAGCTTGTTACGCACAATCCCTGCATTGAAAAGTAGATACGAATCTCGAATGGCTCCTCAAGCATCTAAGGATGTTCCATACAGTTTTCGGTTCCCTCCAATGACTAAGAAGCCAAAGTGGTGGTGGAGGACATTAGCCTGTCTCCCCTATTTGATGCCCCTACATGAGACATGGATGTATGCTGAGACAGCGTATCATTTACACCCTTTCCTGGAGGACTTTGAATTCTTAACATACCCGTTCCTTGGGGCCATTGGGAGGTTGCCCAGCTGGTTCTTGATGGCATACTTTTTCGTTGCGTATCTGGGAGTTGTGAGGAGAAAGGAATGGCCTCATTTCTTCAGATTTCATGTGGTGATAGGCATGTTGCTGGAGATTACCTTGCAGGTGATAGGGACTGTGAGCCGTTGGATGCCGCTTGCTGTCTACTGGGGTAAGGTTAGGATGCACTTCTGGACGGCCATTGCATTTGCTTACCTTTTTACCGTGTTGGAGGCCATACGTTGTGCTCTTGCTGGCATGTATGCTGATATCTCCTTCGTCTGTGATGCTGCATATATTCAAATTCCATATGACTAATAGAGTGAACGAAAGCACAAGAGAAACTCATAAAGAATGTTGTCTTCGCATTGTTTGGATTTTGTTGTACGAGATGAAAACTTGTTTGCCGAAGCAGTTTTTCGAAAATCAACAATTGTGTAAATGTTTTAATTGAATCAGCTTGGTGTGTGTTCTAGCTGACTTCTCGTTCAGGTCTTGTTTGCTTATTTCATTGTTAATCAGAATTAAGGTGTTTTGTTGTTTTTCTATTCTAATTTTATGCCCATTTCGATTTCCTTTTCTTTTTCTTTGATGTGGGCGGTGTCAGTGTGTAACATATCGATGAAAAATTAAGGATTGATATGGAAAGGGGGTGAAATGCAAATTTTACCCTATATCGGCGAGATGTAGGAAAATTAATGAATATCGATTATATATATCGATCCACCACACAAATTTTGCCATAACTCAATGCAAATTTGGAACTTTTGAATTTTTTTTTTTTTTAAAAAAAAAATCTCTAATTTAGACTAAATTTGAATGAGTTGATATACCCACTCATTGCAATTTTCATAATTTTTGTTGAAGGGAATTGATATCAATATCAATATTGACAAGTGTCCTTTTACCATAGTGGTAGAAATGTGTTGAGCTCTTGCATAACAATGTGGGTTCAAAACTCGTCAATGGCTAATCTAACAAATTCTATCATTTGACAAAAAAAAATATCAATATTGATATTTTCACCTATATCCATATTTTAAATGCTAAATGTGGGCAAACGGCCCTTTACCATAGTGGTGGAAATAAGTTGAACCCTGGCATAACGACGTGGGTTTAAACCCCATCGGTAGCTAATATAATATTTAATTTAACAAAATTTATCGTCCGATCAAAAAACAAACCCCTGACTATGGGAGGGTTGGGGTTTGGGCTGATTTGCATCTTGAGATCATGAATGGACCACTGGCGACCAAAAGCATGAAGTGTGGGCCTCAATGTAAACTTCATACCTAGCGGCTAGCCGTTTGGTGGAGGCAGAGAAACTTATTTGCACCCAGACTGTAAAGGTAAGAGTACAACTTGGATCGGGACAACCTGAATGTAAAGGTGGAGGCAGAGAAACTTATTTGCACCTAGAATGTAAAGGTGAGAGAAACTATTTTATTTTGACCTTTTCAAACCTAATTTTTTTATACCCAACCAATAACTTCCCAAGCCAGCAGCCCAAGTTTTCTACCTTTTGAAACTTAATTTTTAACGTCATTTCTCTTCTCCCCAGTATCCTTCGCCAGTCCTCACCAGCGGCTACCGCCACCACTCTCTCCCTCCTCCTCCATTTTATTTTCTGTGGATCCTTCATCATCATTTCCTTTGCATCCATTGATCTCTCTTGCGCGTCGCACCTCCATCCCCACACAACCACGATGCCACAACCAAAGAACAACCAGCTCACTACGATATCTGAAGACGCCCTAGGATTCTTGAGATTGGTTCACTGGGCACGGGGAGGTGAAAGGGAGGCAGGCAGAGAGGTCTGGGTTTGTTGATTTGAGTGGCAGATTTGGAGTTTTTCAGGAATTAGATGGGGTTATAATGGGTAGAAACTTGTATTCCGGATTCCTCCTTTGTCCCGGAACTCAAATGACACCTCCTACTCAGGAGTTCAATTCCCCCAAAATTCGGAATTCAATTCCTATCTTTCGAGTGGACCCCACTCATTTTGATTCCTTCAAGTTTTGGTAAACACAAGAATAACCCGGAATCACACTCCGACTTTTGATTCCGATTACGAACACGTAAACACACCCTAAGGGTGGGTACGGTACAGTTTGGTGTGGTTTTACCCCTAAATCGAAATCGGAATCTTAAAATATCAACGGTTCGGTTCTACTTAAATTTATTACTAGAATTGTACGATTTGGTCTACACCAGTTCTGACTCAGTCCTTGTCGGTTTACGGTTCCGAATACTAAATTATTTGAACACTAAATCATTATGCATTCAAATACATCTTCTAAAACTGTTTATATAAAGTTGCATGCAACACAAAAAATAAAAAAATAAAAAAATTGAAGAACTCAAGTAGAATTACTGAATTAGTCTCTTGATATTGGTCTCAGCAGCAACAACAACAAGCAAAAAGAAATATTCAAATAGCATTAAAGGAAATATGTATTGGTCTCTTGATATTGGCAGCAACAGATTCTTTTTCAAACAGCAGTTCCTATACACAATCAAACAACATATAATCAAATCAAACAATTTATTTCAAAGAGCAAACAGAATCAAACAACTTCTTATTTCAGAAAGCAAGCATGAGCTTCCCCAGTTTTAAAAGGTTGATATCACCAAATTTACATAAACATAAGAATGTATCTTGAGGATAATAAGTTACGGAGTACAAATTAACCCGCTGTAAAACATTTCTGCATTCAATGTAGTAAAGACACAAAACCATGCAAGACAACTCTATGCAAAACATATAGGCATGGATCTAGCCATCTTAATCCTACTTCGAAGCAACAGAATAATTTTCACTCAAGCAAACAAGGTTATCAACACTAAGGATGAAGTCGCACGCACAGCTGCTTGACAATGATTAGTTAAAGTAGGTTACCTCAGCTGCCTCTTCACTTACTGCATTAGTTGGTATATTGAAACACACTAAATATCAGTGCAATCAGAACAAACATTGTGCAGTTAAACAATAATAAATGATTTAAATCCAAAATGTTGCTCGTGTTAATAATTATTAAGAAGCATATCCACATTAATCAGTCTTTCACAATTTGAAAATGATATTAAAATAGCAAAGAGAACTCAAATACTTTAAACTCCACCATATTCAAAACCTTAATTAAGGATATGCTGGCTAAACAAATTAAGTTGAGGAAACCTGATTACTCAGAGTCCGGCGTATTCTTAAAATTCAAGGAACTAAATAGCCAATTTCTAGCTCATCCCTTTGAGGACCTGTATTGGTTTTTATGAATTAAACCCACCAACAACTCAGTTCTTTTGGTATCTCCAAAGATATCTCGAAATCGAGTCCACGACAAGTCTGCGCTGCGGGAGTTGGAGTTGTGGGCGAAGGCGAACCAGTCTCTCTCTCTCTCTCTCTCTCTCTCTCAGGTGAGGACGTTTCTCCATTAACGAAGAAATCATCCGAGAGCGTGGACAAGGAAGAGGGGTCAACTGTGTGAAATGGGGGAATGGGAATGTGAGGACGTTTCTTCGTAAAAAAACTGAAGTGCTTTCTGCAAGAAGCACTGTAAATATTTTTCCAGGTTTACTTGCATTTTTTACTAAGAATTGGTTCCAAAAATATTTTCACAAAAAAACCAAAGTGCTTTCTACAAGAAGCAATGCTTTTCTAGGTTTACTTGCATTTTTTATTAAGAATTGGTTCCAAAAATATTTTCACAAAAAACCCTAAGTGCTTTTTGCAAGAAGCACTGATGCTTCTTTCATCAAGCAATGTAAATGCTTTTCCAAGTTTACTTGTATTTTTTTACTAAGAATTAATTTCAAAAATATTTTTACTAAAAACATTTTCAGTCATTTTAAAAGCACTTCAAACGAGCTTTTACCAAGTCTTTACCTACTCATGTGATTCAAATCCAACTCGATTTATAGCCTGAGTTAATGCCATCGTAACTTCTTGCATGCATGAAATTTCTTCTCACAGTTACGTCTTGCAAATGATAATAACGTGCACATTATTGCCTCTCCCCAATAGTAAACAAATATCCTATTGGGACGAGATTAGAAAACCATTAATATGATGATGTAAGACGATGTTTTAACCTACTCGATGTTTCTAGATAAGAAAACAGTAGATATTACATAGAACAGTGTCGATGAATTCAATGATGTAAACATTAACCTATTAAATTTTGGTTGAATTAAAATTCTCCCTAAGATAAAACATAAAAATTAAAAAATAATATTAAAAATATGAAAACTTTGTGCTCTAATTTTTATATTTAATCCAATTAGTTGGGCATGTCGTTTTTAGTCTAACATCACCATGTGTTTTGGGTAATGTTAGGAGACCAAATTTTTTAAATTAAATTTACAAATTAAATGATGTGGTTGTAAATCATTGGATTATTAACCAAGTGTTGATTAACGTACTTACTTCTTATTAGTGACACATCATTTAATTTAGGAATTTAATCTCTTTAGCATTATTCTATGTTTTTGTGTTGCCTTTCATGCTTGCAAGTTGCAATCCATGCATACAAACTGAAAAAACCAATAAAACCAAATCTGTCGGATGAGGTGGCCCCTACGTCTTTTCATGGAATAATTTTAATGGGCTAAAAAAAGCATTGTTCTAAAGATCGGCCTAGGTAGCGATGTGCGGTGGAGTCCCACCCCGATTTTGGGCAAGGTGTTTGGAAAAATCGGCTAGAAGCTAGGCGGCCCTAGGCGGAGAGCTAGGCGGCACCTAAGCGGTCCTCGGCGGCCCTAGGTGGTTTTTTATATTACTTTTATTAATTGTGTGTTTTTTTCTTTTTTGGTTTCATAGTGGTATACTTATCGAAATGGTGTACTTAAATTTACAACGAATTGGAGCATTTTTGAGGGGATACATACAAAGAAAAGAAATAAACTAGATACAACGAGATTAAATAATTTAGTTTATGTCTAATCCAATACAAGGATCATGATTCATGAATAAGAAGAATTTAGTCTATCATCAAAATCCTCCTCATTATGATTCTATGCTTACTGTTTTTTAAATATTGAACTTTTTAGATGTATATAATTTGTGTATTCTTCCACTTCTATTTTTGCATTTTATCATGAGAAATAGCCGGAATGTGGAATTAACACATTTTGATTGTTGAAATAGTTGAAATGATTGACATATTTATTAAATATTGGCGACGCTGGCGATCAATCACTGGCTTTGGGAACAAACAAAAACAAAAAAACCATACATCTAGCTCCAATTATTTCTTCATTATATATAATGTCTTTCTCGTATGACATAATTAACAATGGAGTCAGTTTGATAAACATACTACATCATGCATGTTTATAATTATAATATATAGTTACACCACATCAATTGTAAGTTTCATTCCATTTTCACAATAGGGAGTCAGATAAGGTGCGAAGTAGGTTGTGCCCTTCTCCAATACCACATGATCGTTTCCTGAACGGTATATGTTTATCGCACCGGCATATAAGTCACACTTCTCGAACAAATACTTGTCCCGTACAGCAGCTACCATGAGAAAGGGATCTTTATTATATTTGAAAACTGTTTTCAAAATAAAATACAATGAATTAGTAAACAAACCAGCTGCTAATCAAATATGGTAATATAGAAACTTGAGGAATCGGACGCATGAACACGAATTGAAAAGAAAACCAAATTTCAGTAATTTTACCCAAAACATCTCCGGCCTTGAACTTCTTGCCCTCAGTCCACTGGGTTAAGTTGGCATCAGGGCTCCATCTTTTCTCATCCCCCACTATATATTCTTTTGCATCAACTTGTTCGCATTGGAGCAGCAAACAGCTGACAAAAATGCCGATTCCAATCACCAAAATTTTGTGCATTCCAACTGCCATCTTTGATCGTTCCACAAAGAAAGTACGTATGTAACCTTAACATCAACTCCAAAATACAAAACCACATTACAAATCCATTTATATATACAACATTGAGCCTATTACGCAATCAATTCGTACGTTTTGATTTGCTTCTCCAAATGCCATATGATATTTCCGTAACTAATAATTATTACTAATAATTATCACATTTACTGAATAATTATTACTGTAAATATTCCTTATTCTTCTATGCTTGTGTATTTCAACTCATAATCGGGATCAATTTATGAAATCGCATTAATTTATGATGATTTTGTACCATTTTAGAGATATCATTGAATGGGTGGATGATCCATTGAAAATTTTGTAATTATTTTATACCATTTTGACGTCAAATACTTGACCATTGCCAATACGGGAATTGGTTTCCCATATGAGACGTCGTGCGGTGCCACTCGTGAGTAGGCGTTTTGGAGAATAAAGTCTCACATATCAGCGATTGTGTTTCCTTAATTGTAGTAGTTCATTTTTTTGGTCTTTAAGACATGAATGTTAGTTTGGATTGCTTGAATGAGGTTGGTTTATATGCATGAAGCATGTATGTTACATTATGTTGTGTGTATCTTACGCTAAAAATTTTAAGAAAATTTTGTTTTGGCTTCGTTTTGAGATTTACTCGTAGTAGTGTATTATTATTAACTGTTATTTGCAGCAAAAGCTAGCCTCATGCGAAACATGAAGCATTTTCATTGGAATGTTTAGATACAAACGACAATCCTTGCCGAAAATTGTAAATATAGGAAAGCTGAACAGAAATACAGGAAAACTGTTTTTCATAGGCGCAGTGCAATGGTGGACAAATAATAATCTCCTGGGAAAGTTATCTCATGTATTTTCAGAGAATAAAACACAAAGTTATAAAGCATTTTCAAAAGTTATCTCATGTATCATATTTGACTATTTCTACAAAATAACGCATGAAAGGGCAACCAATTAGACATGGCGTCTTCATATTTCTAAGAACCTATTTCTACGGAGCTTATGCTTGTTTGACCGCTCCATAATTTGAGTCACTAGTTGCTCTACATCACATATCGCCGCCTTTCCTCATCACTTAAGCTAATTCCAAATGCTTAGCGTTGAAACTTTAGTATTCTAGGCAATTGTTATCGAAAATATCTCCAGGAAATTTATGATTTTGGATTTTTTCCATTTCCTCCCTGTAGTTATTTTATGTATGGTGGATGAATTGAACTTGGAAGGAAAGCAACTTAATGGCTGTCTTTTTCTTTTTTATTTATTGCAAGGATGCTACTGGAAGAATGGCAGATTTTATCATATGATTGTCATTGAAGATTTATCTTGAATCTGGACTGTTTTTTGTCAATTGTTATTTGCGAAGGTTGCGACTGTTTGTGCTGGCACCAAAATAAAGTTTGTAGAAGGTTGCTGACCGACGATAAAAGGTAGCTTGCAATTTTTATTTTAATGAATCATATTAAATGCATTTGAGTACCACATAAATTTACTCAATTACTTTAGCAATTAGGAAAATCACTCTCTTCACTAAAATCGTTATTCATTTACATTAACAACTTTTATTTTTCCAAATTGTAACAGAGAAGCATGTATATGATGAAAAATAAAAGACGGAAGTTGTCACATCCTGCCCCGAGGCGGATCACTTTCCGGGCCTGCTCCACCACCGTAGTATGATATTGTCCGCTTTGGGCTTACCATTCCCTCACGGTTTTGTTTTTGGGAACTCACGAGCAACTTCCCAGTGGGTCACCCATCATGGGATTGCTCTAGCCCCTTCTCGCTTAACTTCGGAGTTCCTACGGAACCCAAAGCTAGTGAGTTTCCAAAAGGCCTCGTGCTAGGTAAGGATGAGAATATACATATAAGGATCACTTCCCTGGACGATGTGGGATGTTATAGAAGTTCTGAAGTTCTGAAGTTCTGAAGTGACGACCAAGAAAGTTTAGAAGTGTAATATAATTGTAACCAAGAATGTAAACCATGGATGAAAAATGTTAATATAAGTCTAATTATGGATGACTCATGCGAATTTTATCTAAATTTGAATATAGTTTTTAACAGGCCATATATTTTGCCATTTAACTGCAAGGGCAAAATATGTGGGGACTGCATCTTGCTTCTATTTCTCACGGAAATAGGCGTCCTGCATTTTTTTTTTCTTTGAACATTAGTGCTTGAAAGCTTAGTTACTGAAACAAAAACGAAACACTTTTAATGTTTTTTGTTAACTGCTAAAACAGGCAGCTGGCCCGCAGAACATATATATTTGCCATCTTAACTTCAGAGGCAATATATGTGTGAATTGCATGTTGCTTTTGTCTCTTATGGAAATAGAGGATTTTTTGCAACCACATCTTTTGTAATAAAAAACGTTCAACTTCGTCTTATTAATTGTACAATGTCTTTTCATATCAGCTATGTTGAATGTATATAAAAACCAAGCTGCTTATCTTACCGACCCCTTTCACTCATGTATCCCGTTGTTCATTCATGATTATGTTTAATTTATTCATGAGCCTTTATTCATGCATTTAAGGTTGGTGCATTCAAGTCCCGCAGCAACACGCGCGGGCATATTTTCTAGTTTGTATGGAGTTTGATTTATTTTGGTGTTTTTAATTTTTAATTTTTAAGTTTGTACTCCTGCCCAAACCGCCCTTTTTCTTATTTTTTAATAAACAAACTGAGTGTTTTTTTTTTTTCATGGGAAATGGCCGGAATGCGGAATTAACAAATTTTGATTGTTGAAATAGTTGAAATGATTGACATATTTATTAAATATTGGCGACGCTAGTGATCAAACACTGGCTTTGGGAACGAACAAGAACAAAAACCCATACAACTAGCTCCAATTATTTCTTCATCATATATAATGTCTTTCTTGTATGACATAATTAACAATGGAGTCTGTTTGATAAACAAACTACATCATGCATGTTTATAATTATAATAGATAGTTACTCCACATCAATTGTAAGTTTCATTCCATTTTCACAATAGGGAGTCAAATAAGGTGCGAAGTAGGTTGTGCCCTTCTCCAATACCACATAATCGTTTCCTGAACGGTATATGTTTATCGCACCGGCATATAAGTCGCACTTCTCGAACAAATACTTGTCCCGTACAGCAGCTACCATGAGAAAGGGATCTCTATTATATTTGAAAACTGTTTTCAAAAAAAAAAAAAAATACATTGAATTAGTAAACAAACCAGCTGCTAATCAAATATAGTAATATAGAAACTTGAGGAATCGGACGCATGAACACGAATTGAAAAGAAAACCAAATTTCAGTAATTTTACCCAAAACATCTCCGGCCTTGAACTTCTTGCCCTCAGTCCACTGGGTTAAGTTGGCATCAGGGCTCCATCTTTTCTCATCCCCCACTATATATTCTTTTGCATCAACTTGTCCGCATTGGAGCAGCAAACAGCTGACAAAAATGCCGATTCCAATCACCAAAATTTTGTGCATTCCAACTGCCATCTTTGATCGTTCCACAAACTAAGTATGTATGTAACCTTAACCTTTCACGATCAACCCCAAAATACAAAACCACATTACAAATCCATTTATATATACAACATTGAGCCTATTACGCAATCAATTCGTACGTTTTGGTTTGCTTCTCCAAATGCCATATGATATTTCCGTAACTAATAATTATCACATTTACTGAATAATTATTACTGTAAATATTCCTTATTCTTCTATGCTTGTGTATTTCAACTTATAATCGGGGTCAATTTATGAAATCGCATTAATTTATGATGATTTTGTATCTGTAAACACGAAAAGTTCCTGAAACAAGAAACAAGAATACGTGTACAAAATATATTTTTTAATGATTTTGGGGTTACAATCTCTTTGTAATTTGATCATCTGATTCTATCTTCGTAGGGTGTAGGTTTGTGGATGAGCTGTTGATCCAAAGGGCCGTTGGGGCTTGATCTAAGGATGAACGGATGATGAACACTTTCTTCAAGGGCCGTCGGGGCTTGATCTTGAATAATGGTTGTGTGGATTTCTTCAAGGGCTTTTGGGCTTGATCTTGAATGAACGGATGATGAACGATGAACACTTTCTTCAAGGGCCGTCGGGGCTTGATCTTGAATAATGGTTGTGTGGATTTCTTCAAGAGGCCGTCGGGGCTTGATCTTGAGGGTTGATGGATGAGCGGATCTTCAAGGGCTTTTAGGCCTAATCTTGAAGACTGAGTGTATGGATTTCTTCAAGAGGCCGTCGGGGCTTGATCTTGAGGGTTGATGGATGAGCGGATCTTCAAGGGCTTTTGGGCCTAATCTTGAAGATTGATTGGATGTGTGGATTTGTTGAGGTTGTTGATCCAAAGGGCCGTTGGGGCTTGATCTTAGGACGAACGGATGATGAACACTTTCTTCAAGGGGCCGTCGGGGCTTGATCTTGAGTCGGCGGAAGTTCTTCAAGGGCCGTTGGGGCTTGACCTTGAAGGAGGGTTTGACGAAGAACGAAGAGTGTTTTCTTGATCCTTCGGGATTTGCTTGAGAGCTTTAGAGTTTCAAGGCTTCAAGGTTTTGGTGTGATGTAAATTCCCTTCTTTCTTTCTTTCTTCCTTTCTTTCTTTCTTTCTTCCTTTCTTTCTCTCTTTCTTCCTTTCTTTTTCTCCCCCTGAAATGAATGTCTTGGCCTCCTATTTATAGAATTCCAAAACTTGATTTTTGGATTTAAATAATCAGATGAAATAAATCATTTCTGCCAGATATTGACACGTGTCCTATTTGATGACCTTTCCAATTTATTTCGATTTTTCGTTGAGTCACACGCTACATGTAAAATTTATGTGACACGTAAGCGTTGAAATTTTAATTATTGGTTAACATTCATTTCACCGAAATTTCGATGTCTACAAATGCCCCCACTTCAAGGCGCGTCGTTGACATGTGCTTGTCACGTGTAGAAGATGCGTTTTGAAGTCCCTTAATGTAGATGTCAACCCAAGGGCCGTCGGGGCTTGATCTTGAATTGAGCTGGAAATTTCTTCAAGGGCCATCGAGGCTTGATCTTGAGTTCGACTGGAAGATTTTCTGGTTTCCTCCAATCGTTGATTTTCCACAAGCTTAATCTTGAACTGGGCTGGAAGATTTTTTTGGTCTCCTCCGAAGGTCTGAACTTACTCCTTTTATCTGGAGTTGAATTTGATTCAAGGGTGGTGAACACTTGATTTTGAATCGGACTTGTGATTTCTTCAAGGGCCATTGAGGCTTGATCTTGAACTGGGCTGGAGGATTCTTCTGGTCTCCTCCGCTCGTTGATTTTCCTTTGTGCTACTCTTGAACTGGGCAGCAGGATTCTTTTGGTCTCCCCCCGAAGGTCTACGAGCGGTTTCAGGATATGGCAGGCAAGTACGAGGTGGAGGTGCTGACCTGTTTCTTTGTTCAATCTTTCCCATTCGTATTGAATACGAATCGGAAAGATTGAAGTTTCCTTGTCCCTTCTCTGGCAGTGTATCAACCGTTGAAGATGACTACTCGAGAGCAATACTAGGTAAGCAATCAGGAATAGATTCCAGGTAGTCGGTTCCAGATCGGAAGACTGACTCCAAGTGCCGGCTGATTGCTTCTTTCACTTTGCCATGCGAGTAAGAACAAGGACAAAGGAAAAGACAGGGAAAAAGCATGATATGAGATACCTTTGCTTTCGAAGAAGCAGCGAATGAATCAACACATATATTTGTTGTGCTTGTCTCCACATGCTTCGATGTATCATTTTCACTTGCCTTACTTGCTCCCCTTTGCAGAAGTGGTATTTCCTTATGCAGGTTTAGCCTCTTCTCTTGTAGTATTTGTCCTCCGATGCAGGAGTTGAATGCAACCTTTGCATTTAAATGGTGCTTCACTTCTTGGTGGCAACTGGTTTGAGTGGAGGTTCCGACATATTGCTTCCTCTGTCCTTGTCTTGGCAGGTGAGAACAAGGGCAAAGGAAAAGATAGGGAAAAAGCATGATATGAGATACCTATGCTTTCGCCTTTGATGATATGAGATACCTTTGCTTTTGAAGAAGCGGTGAATGAATCAGCACATGCTTCAATCTATCGTTTCCTCCTGGGTCATCTGTACTCCAGGCATCTGGTATCTTCAAAGGTTGAATAGGTTTTCTCAAGGGAAGAAGAAGAATTGTGTATTTCGAGAGGCTTTGCTGGGAGTGCGCCCTCAGAGGTGAGGAAGAGTTGAGCATTTTCTTCAGGTCTGCCTTGCCATAAGAGACGAAGGTCGACATGTATAGGGATTTCTTAATAGCAAGTGGTGGTCTTGTTCTTTTACCCTTGTCGACAAACGTCTCTTCGATATCTGAACGACGCCTCTTCGATTTCTGAACGACGCCTCTTCGATTTCTGAACGAACGCCACTTTTGACAAAGTTGCACGCGTTTTCTGAAAAGCAGAGAAAGCGTTGCCGAACTTTGCGCTTGTCGGCTAAAGACGTGTAGTTGCGATGATGGCCTCCACGTGTTCTCGACTTTGTCAGATATCTTTTGACAAAGTTGAACGCGTTTTCTGAAAAGCCGCGAACGCGTCGCCGAACTTCACGCTGGAAAATCTGGATTTTTGAATCGGTGGTCGTGTCGTTTGGCTTTTTATAGAGCGGTATTGATCACCCCAACATTCACACTCTGAAGATTGCCCATTCTTGAAAAATTGTCTCCGACCCTTTGAAATTTTTTATCCCTTCTCTTTGAACACCTTTGAAAAATGACTAACTCATCGAACCTTTGCTTAGATTTGAGTCTCAGCAGCGATCCGATTGTGCCCCGTCAAGGTAATGTATGGCGCCCTTCTTTTTTATCTTCTAACGGTCCTCTTACAGGTGAAGACTCTGTGATGAAGGACGCAACAACAGCTACGATAGTAGCTAGGAACCTCCTCACTCCTGAAGATAGTCGGCTGCTTTCAGGACGGTCTGATGAGTTGGCCGTTCAAGAGTCCCTCGCTCTCAGTGTCCAGTGCGCAGGCTCTGTGTCCAACATGGGCCAACGCCTACTTGCTCGCTCCCGCCAAGTTGAATCCTTGATGGCGGAGGTGGAAAGTCTTAAGCAAGAGATCAAACTGCTTAAGTACGAGAATAGAAGTTTGCATGTGCTTGCAAATAACTATTCGTCGGGCATGAAGAGGAAGCTTGATGAGCTGCAAGAGTCTGAAGGTCGGATTCAAAGTGACCGTCAAAGGTTTTCGTCTTTCCTCCAGAGGCACATTTTTCCTGGGTCTTCCAGCGTTTGGCCAAGTATTGAGGCCTCGAATGCTCTATCTTCGATGCCTCCCGCTCCTGGAGTTTTGCCACGTAGTGGGGCTTCACGTGAACATCCTTTGTGAAAGCTCCATCTTTTTTTTTTTTTTTTTTTTTTTTTTTTTTTTTTTGTACACACTTGTAATTTCTTGGAGATTAATGGACATGCTTTATTTTATTCAGTGTATTGTGCTAAATACAGATAAAACATATACATCACCGTCCATCATCATTCATTTTCATTTTATTATTTATTATTATTATTTTTTTTTTACTTTTCTTTACTTTCGGTGGCACTGATCCACCATTTATTTATATATATATATATATATATATATATATATATATATATATTTCAGATGGTGCCAGAAGCACCACCATTGTTTTTTTCTTTATTATATATATATATATTTTTTCTTTTTGCACATGGTTCCAGAAGCACCATCATTGTTTTTATTATATATATATATATATATATTTTTTTTTTTTTTTTTTTTGTGCATGGTGCTGTCCAGCCAGATTCCATCATTTTTTTTTTCTTTTATATGGTGATCTGCAAGGCTGAGTTTGTGGGTGAAAACCCAGGCCGAGGCCGAGAGAAGACGGAGGAGATCTTTGGGTGTGAGTTGACAAACTTTGATTTTGTTGATCACATTCAAAGGCAGCAGCAGAGGCAAACAGACGGATGAGATCTTTGGGTGTGAGTTGACAAACTTTGATTTTGTCAATCACATTCAAAGGCAGCAGCAGAGGCAAACAGACGGATGAAATCTTTGGGTGTGAGTTGACAAACTTTGATTTTGTTGATCACATTCAAAGGCAGCAGCAGAGGCAAGCAGACGGATGAGATCTTTGGGTGTGAGTTGACAAACTTTGATTTTGTTGATCACATTCACAGGCGGCAGCCATGGCGGAAGTGCAGAAGCAGCCAGAGCTTGAGGCAGAGTGTAAGGCGTCGAGTTTGAAGACCGGCTAGTCGTTTGACAGCGGTCAATGAAGCTCTTCGTTGATTTTGATCATGGTGGCTAGGGTGACGAGCTCGAGGTTTGTTGGCAGCGTGAGGAGACAAAGGGAAAAGCTCCACCATCACCATTGAGCACAAGCAAGGAGTACAGCCACTGAGCACGAGTACCGAGCACAACCACCAAGCACATCCACAGCAGTGAGTTCCCATACTTCTTTTGCTCCATAATTTCATTTTGTCGCTGAATATCTTCTTCCCGTTT